CGGATCGTGTGGAATTTTCTGTGAGTTATCATAAAGTGGTCATTTTACGCATGTTGAAAACTAGGTCATCCTAAAACGTGTATAGCTCCTTCTTGGCGGGTCTGACCTAGAACTGCTGGGTGTGGTTATGAAGGGCATTCGTCCAAGTATATGTCAGAAGAAACAAATTGACCGTCACTAAACCCACTAGTGTGCTACAATATTCTGAAAATGTGTAAAAATCATTGTTTTCCATGCGATTCTTCTTTTACTGATGACCAATGACTATCGTAAAGAGTTTAAATGACCATTGATTATCAACATTAGTACTATATTATATTATTTGAGCGTTCCTCGTGCCAAATATGTTATTTTGGTTAAAAATCACAAAGTTTTTGTGATAAAATCGGACGTTCACGATCACCGTAGGGTAGGGGCGTAACTGCTGTATAATTTTGCAGAATCAGACAACGATTATTCTCATTTGTATTCTGTAGTTAGTAGCAGGGGAGTATATAAATGTATGGGCTGGCTTGGCAGGCTTTTATAACAGCATACTGATCATCACCATTTCGTTATTTGAACATGCCTGTCAAATAGGGTATTTCGGTCAAAAATCAAAACGTTTTCGTGACAAAATCAGATTTTCACGCTCGCTGGATAGCCGAAGGGGAGGTTTTAAGTCATGCATAATTTTGCAGTGATCAGACCACGGTTATTAAGATCTGTATTTAGGAGTAGATTATCGTATAGATTTATGGGCTGCCATGACTATCATAAACTTGATATCTGTTATCCACGTTCTCGTGTCAGAAAGGGGTTGGATGGCCGAATGGTTATCACGTATGCGCTGTAATAAGGTCTGTCATTGAGTCAACTGGCGTGGTTTCCATTCCCCTATCGAACCTCGTTAGTTTTCTCCACGACCTGCGGTTTCCTCCCACTGCTAAAGACCACTACGCGCAAGCGAATTATTGCAACAAAATTAAACCATATGTTAGTCCCCAAATTACCTAGTTTGTGTCCAGTGGACGTTAAACTCTCTCTCTCTCTCTCTCTCTCTCTCTCTCTCTCTCTCTCTCTCTCGTGTAAGAAGAACCGCAAGAAAAAATATTTTAAGTGTTCATGGAGAGGCATTTAATATCTGGCGGTTTCCTTGTTTAGGAGACCATCTTGCTTTCCATATGGAAATCCCCGAAGGGGAAGTTGCATACATCACAACAGGTTTCATGGCACTCCAGACAATCCAGGATAATCCTGACTGCATATGCCAACCTCTGACATATACCTGTTTTCGAGCAGAAGTGTTCACTTACTTAGATTCTGACCTGCCTTCCTATGTTCTTAGTTTTGGGACCCCATTTTTGTAATGATGTGCGACCCCCCCCCCCCCCAACTATTGCCACCGTAGTGATCTTTTACCCGAGAGCTGAAATATGTTTCATTTCATTACTATATCATATATTTATATAAGATTTATTCTGTGTAAATTTCAATGGACATTCATAAAACGTGTCCCTTGGTTAATTCAAAAGTGGTCTAATACATGTGCTTTAGATCATAAGGTATGTCATAGAGTTAAGTGGCGTGGTTTCCATTACAAGCTTTGTAGGTTACATGGTCTAGTGTTGTCTGTCCAATCTCACGGATTCTCTCTTTTCGCGCACGCATATTATTGAAATAAAACTATCATATGTTAGTCCCCAATTTACCTAGTTTGTGTGGAGTGGACCTTAAACCTCATTTCTCTCTCAAGTCAAAATCATCCTTGATGACGTCTGAATGGAATATATAAACTTTGTAAAGATGACCAAACATATGCATCACCATATGTTCGTCCCAAAAAGACCTGTTTGTGTTCAGTGGACGTGAAACCCAATTTCTTTTCTCCCTCTCATGACTAAATCATCCTTGCTAATGCTTAAATGGAATATATTAAATTTGTAAAGATGTCCATGCATATTCTTTATCTGGAGTATTGATAAACGGAACATTTTATCTCAATTTTGGTTGTTTTTAATTTATTTTTGCTTTTTTATTATGTCTGTGCCGGTAATTTTTATTTTTTATTTTGTTAGTAAGAAGGTTGCTAGTTGTGGATAACATTCAACTTTGGTCCTAGTCCCTGCCAAAAACGAACTATAGCCTCTCACACTTTGGTTTTCATTAAATTCAATTTTCATAGCGAGTTGAATATCTGATCAGTACCGAGATATTATTGGCAGTAGAAACTTAAAACTTTGTGTGTATGAGGAGCCTGTGTGGTCCTACTAATGCCCAGAATTTCATCTGTCTAAATCAATTGTCCGAATAACAGATCATACAAATTTAGTTCCAAATTAGCCCATTTTTTGAGTATTTTTCTATTAAAAAATATTTTTCCTTTTTCCAATTTGCCAGATTTGTATCAACTGAATCAACCTAATATTTTGCTGGGATGTATTTGGGTACTAACCCATCTCACAGAAAAAATTTGGTCCACATCCCCAACCTAAGAGTTATCGCCCTCCGCATGGTGCTCTCGCGGACACACTCTTAACACTATTTTGTGGCTCTTCGTTAACTGGTAACACTTCAAATGGGCCTAGGAAAACTGAACTGTAAGCAGTAGTTATTAGCACACTTTCCGAGGTGTATCGGTGAATATCAGGACAGTTTTGGTCGAGGGGCCCAGCCGAGGCGGAGCCGATGCGGCTCCCGACCAAAACTGTCCTGATATTCACCGATACACCGAGGAAAGGTGCTAATAAGTTACTTACATCACATTTCTATCGAGTATTGTGAAGCAAAATGTGAAAAATAGTATTTATTATCGAGTCGTTTCAACCGAAAAGTGACAAATACTTTCTGTTCTTTCATTATTTATCCCTTTCTGAGCCTCACGTTACATTTCATGGTAGAATGATTTCGCAGTTGAGAGACGACCTGAGTAGTATTCACACGTGCGTCTTGCTATGATACTCTGAGCGTAAAACAATCACGTGTTTGTTTAGACCACATCGTCAAAACAATGTCTATGGCGTAGAGGACTGCGATATTATTAAATGTAGTGTAAAGGAAATGCGAAACGTGGGTCATTCCTGGTGAAAGTATGCATCGGCGGATGGTTCTTCCGTTGAAATTTATTTGTAATAAAGTTTATGACTTTCTAGGCGTTTTTTTTTTCATCCTGCTTATTTTCAATGCCTGTGAAGTGTCCAGCAAGAGAACTGCGCCTTCTATCATCACAATTAATTAAAATAATTATTCAATATTCTAATTTATATATTTGGCATATTAATATAAATCAAACCAAATTATGAAATAGATGCCAATTGGTATGTATAATAATTGATTTTTGTAATATGTTGTTATGTTAATTTAATGTCATTGTATATGTTTTTGAACTGCCATGTAGTTCCCCCCATTTTGTTTTGTTACTATGATTTTGACTAGTTGTTTCATGTGCCTTGGTTAGAGCCCCGTTATCAATTGCGATCTGGGTCGGACTAAACGTCCGCTACTTATTGCTTGATAGATATCTAAAACAGTATAAAAGTATCCGTGTATCAGAAATGATCAGTACTCTTTCTGTACATTTCTGATACACGGATACTTTTAAGCATGTATTGCAATTAAACAGGACAGTTTTATCAAAGGTTGCCAGTGGCAACGAGTAGAAGTGGGATGTAATCTTGATTAGATCTTTCATTATCACCATCATTAACTTCTGTATAATTGATCTGATTAATCTGCTTATTCTTAGTACTCCAACAATAAAGATAAAATTAGACAGTGTGGAATTTTGAAATATTGTCCACATAAAGGGATGGTTCCTTGATACTTTATAATCTAAATACACTCTTATGGTTGTTGATTTGTTATTTTAAAGTGCTAAGATACATTTTAACCCTTTATAGTTCTTATAGGTCAATATTAACCCTTTTAATCCTAAAATTATGGTAAATGTTAACACTTTGATTGATTCTACTTAATAAATTATTTTATATATTCAATGTGATATATGAGTCTTTGTTAGACTCGTGACCTGCACTTTATGCCTGCGATGCCGGATTAAAACGCATGGGAGTCCTGACGCACTTAAGTAAATGGAGACCCCTGTCCCCTCTCAAAAAAGGGATAGGTTTATATTGAAACTGAATTTTAAAAAAAAAAACATAGTAGACTTACTGAATATCTTTTGGTTTGAATAGGAAGGTGCTATCTGAAACCACGGAAAACTCGCTCAACAGTTAGTTCATTGTATCAAATAACAGATCGTTTTTCAATAAATTTAGTTGTTTACGTACCTTTAAAATACTAGTATTTAAGTGTCCTTACTGTACTAAATTCGCCTTAAAATAATATTTAAAAAAAAAACGTATTCTGTATGACTAATCAAAATGAAGAATGTTTCCGGGTATTATCTGCTAATGAAACGAACAGCTCTCTTACAACGTAGTCATTCGAGTGTACGGTAACTTATAATTTTTAGGCGGGTTACTGTTTACATTAATTATTCTTATGGTTGGATCCCATTTAAAGAGTGGCACCAGTGACGTAGATGTAGCGCGGTATGAATATTTATTGGTCTGATCACTTTAAATTATTATTATAGTGACCTCCCTTGTTCGTCAAGATTGTCTAGGCCCTTCTATTTTATCACGTGGTTATGTGATCGTTAAAGAAATAGAGATTTGGTGCTGTTTAATGTTCTTCTGTTACGGTAAATGTAACTATTAACACCCAAGCTATAATAAGAGAGTGGGTAATGTTGTAGAGAACCATGTTTCCGCAACAATATCTCCTGTAAAACTCGCTTAATAATATTAATCAGCAATTTGCCGTCGATGTTGTTAGTGTGACTGACAATCATGTTATAAATTATGAAGGCTTACCCAAAATGTCCATTTGCATTGTTGTACTTGTGTTGTACTTGTAGAAAGGTATGGCCTAGGCCTACCTTGTGAATCACATAAGTCGAACCAATAAAGCTTTTGCATGTATGTTTAGTTAATTTGAAATTTTTTTTTTTTTTTCAGGGCCAAAGACATTTATATTTATAAAATGTGGGTGATATTGAGGCGAATTTTAAAGTTACGAATTTTGTCAGGGAGTCCGATATTCACAGTATTATTAGGGTGTATAATATTATTACAGACACTTCTTATACTACAACCATGCAGTAAGTATCCAAGTATTGTATCTTTTATTCGTTATACTTTATTACTTACACTATTATAAGACATTTTTAAGCCCGCATTAAAGACACAAGTTAAGAAGTTTAATTACGCCTACGGTAGGGGAGAGCGGGGCACAGTAAGCCATGGGGCACAGTAAGCCAGGCTTTGTAATTTTTAACTGTTTGGGGAAAATTCAATTGTGACATCACTGGGGAATTCCCCTATACGGCCCCCATTTGTCCTCCTAAATTCAATACATTCATGTAAGCTGATTAATATTTATCGGCCATTAACTGTTTTTCTGACGCAAAAGTGAATTTTTGGCGGACTGGTTAAACTGCTTGGCTACTCCAGATTTTGTTAGAGTCCACAAAATTGAAATCCCAGGTGAAGGAGATAGTATTTGACTCTCATTAGAAATATTTTGTTTCATAATACTATCACATGTCTTCCTGCCATTTTCAATTTTCTGACATGGTTGATGACGGGGCACAGTGGGGCAGATTTCAGAGGGGCACACTGAGCATAAGCATTTCGAGTTTAGCTAAATCTCATCTGTCCATTTTAGACAGAATCTGGATATTTGAGCTGTTTTTAAGGAAGTATTGGTTCTAGGTTACGAATCCTTACTGACTTACAAGTCATAGGAGTTTTTCACATAAAAGATTTTTTTTTTCTCCAGTTAAAGAATTTTTTATTCAATATTAAGCTGTTTTTTTTTTAAATTTTCAGCAGCATATATGTGTTCAAGTCTTAAAACAAATTCATATTTTGAACTAAAAATTTACTTTTTACAGTTCTTATGAGTTTCGGTGTGTTTACTATACATTTTTTTAAAAGAAACATACTTGATGGCCAACTGTGACCCAGTGTACCCCACATACGGGGCACATTGGGTCAAAAAAAAATTTGGTTTTACAATGATCTACACAAAAATGGTTTCAATTTATTAACTTCTTAACAGCACTGTTAAATCGAACACATGACTGGCTTCAACTGAGTGCATAGTTTGATTCTCTGTAGGATTTCACTTCTGGTCAATTCACTAAAAAAAAGAAATCATGCCCACTGTGCCCCGCTCTCCCCTACTTGCGAGATTGATCTGATAAGGTCGTTGAGATGTAAATAATAAGGTTAGGATTATGGCGAGATTGTAGGTTAGGGTTAGGGTAAGCATTGGGTATGATTGGGGCTAGGTCCAGGGTTAGGTTTAGGGTTGGGATAAGGGCGCTGACATGTAAATAAGGTTAGGGCACGTGATAATTGGCGAGATTGTAGGTTAAGGTTAGGTTAAGCATTGGGGCTAGGTCCAGGGTTAGGGTTGGGATTAGCGCTAGCCCTGTTTACATCTCGTAACCTATGACGAAAAATTGAGTTGGCCTTATCATAATTAGCACTAACCCTCATTGGACACGTAGTACGTAAGTAGCTATCGCTCGAAACTAAATGATAGATCTGTTGTTCAGATTGCATTGGACAAAGCCATACATAATATCCAGGTATCATAAGCCTTCTTACACGTACTTTGCTCAAAATTATATTAAAACACACATTCATCTTTCTCTAGTCGTGAAGGTGGAAGATTGTAAGGGGCCTGGGTCCTCCCTTCATCTAAATCCGATTCTTGTTCTGACAGAACATTAAACCCCCAACCCCTCTCTCGAGGCGGGCCATGCCGCTTAGAACACATGCTGCCACTTCTCATTTGAGGAGTTCAAATCGCCAATAATTCTGCTTCAATGGGAAATCGATGGCAACTTGTGTAGAACAAACTGTGATTGTACTATTTATGAAATATCCACATTTTACGTTGAAGTTTAAATACCTATTTTTCAGGTCATATTAATACAGGCGTTGATATGTCTATCAACAGTCGGGGTTTAATGTCCATGGAAGATTCTAAATCAGCTGCTCTGAAAGACTCATCATCATATGTATGTTAATATATAAACGTGCAAGATTTGTCAATTTGAAATCGGCTGACAGGACCTAGGGTTGAAACTTACTATTTTATTTGTTTCAGTTTTTTGCCATGATATCACCTCAAGGGAAATCGGATATCAGCAAAATGTTGACATAACTTATCATATTCTGGCGTGATCTATTAAACAACCCTTCATTCATCGATTTTATGAAGTACGCTTTTGTAGTTATTACTTATTTAGAGTTGCCGAAGTGTAATCTGCGGAGGTTGTTATATCATGGACCGTGTATCAATAAGTATCAATAAGAAATGTCTTCTCTATAAATAATGTATTTAGGGACACAAACAAGATAAGACATTATTTTATTGGATATAATAATTAACTATTTGATATCCCGTTACAATCGTTAACATTTTACTTTCAATATGTGAAGGCCTACATTGTTCGATATCAAGTTAAAAATTTATAGATCACAAAAACTGCGATATATTTTCTTACTTAAAGGACAATATTGGTGTCAGTCATTATCACATATGTGATAGAATTCATAAAAAGAATTGAATGCCTTTAGATAAGAGAACACGAAGGTATAGAATGAATATAAACAAGGGAATGTACGGACTATTTCTATTTTTCTCGTGTTCTCTTATCTAATGACATTCAATTACTTTATTGAATTGTCAGGTATCCTCTTACAGTCCCATATAACAACTGTTGGTCTTGGAAGGAATTATAAGTGAGCAGAAATTCGGCCGTGTATCTGTTATCATTCGTCACATCAGTAAGTTATATAGAGGGATGGCTCGTGTTTTCCTTTGGCGTTCGTCACTTCCGATTCAGGAAACCTGTATTACTCAGCTATCGTAGCAATGATCTCTGTGAAAAAATAATATTTGGAACGTGTTTAATTAGTTCTATCACATATGTGATAATGACTGGCACCAATATTGTCCTTTAAACAGGTCTAGCCAACTGGTTTTAATATTATATTAGGTTCGGGGATTTGGCCCGTAAATCTTTAATGTAAAAACGATTCATGGTCAGTAGCGCGTATGGGCTTAGTCTTCCCCGCAACAAAATATCTGAGATTCACCCATGCAACTTGGCTAAGTGGGTAAGACGCTAGCTCGCTAGCCTGGAGGTCGGGTGTTCGATCCCTGCATTGGCCGAGAAAGTTCATCCAGATTTTCCGGCGTGGTTCTCCCTTGTCAGTGATGCAAGGCGGAGGGGCTGACAAGGAAAGCTGTCTAGTCGTTCGGATGGGACGAAAAACCGAGGTCTCGTGTACACATTGGCGTGCACGTAAAAGATCCCTTGGCAGTTGGAATTCGATATAAGAGTAGGCCGTAGTGCCGCTGTCCGGGCAAAATTTCCCTCATAGCACACTGTATGGCGTATGCCCGTCTTCATTAATCCAGGTTAGGAGCAGAACAGTAGGACGTTAAACCCCATTTCATTTCATTTACCCATGCAACTGTCGAAGCAAAATAATTATTGTCTACTTTCGCACTGCACACATAGTCATCCTAAATGGTAATAAGCCATATGTTGGACACAAAAGGACGACGAGACGTTAAACCCATCACATGCCATTCATTTTACAACGATTTGTGTTTTCTTTATAGATGTGTTGTAGCTGTGAATATAGTATGGTGGTTGATAAAAATAAATCACTTGTATTTAAAACACCACAACGTGATAAAGGTGAGTTACTATTAATTAGCCCAATTGTCATTTGTGCAGGATGGGGGCCCTATCAAGAAACAGTGTATAGTCGTTCGAATACACATTGGCGTGCACTTAAAAGAACCTTTGACAGTTGGATTTTGAAATAAAAATAGGTCGCAGTGCGGCTGTCCGGGCAAAACCATATTTCATTTCATTGTTTTTTTATTTGATATATTTGATACAAAAAAAACAATACTCTGTTAGGGCATCATCTTTATACCCGAGTTTAGCCCATTAGCTTAATATCCTGGGATTTGCTTCTTTGATTTTAGTGCTCCTACGACTTGAGCTATAATGGTTTGGGAAGACGTAATCTGAACGTAATCGCATAATTTACCTTTACAAAATGTAGCGAAATAGCCCATATACATGTACATACATGTACTTTGTATTCTATTTGTGGGTTTATATATGAAAGAATCACACCAGGAAAGGATTGAACAACATTTATTGATCGACATGGTGGAACTGTACATTTCAATAACAACTGTGCATGTCTATACACATTTTACCTATAGTATGGAAACACATTAATGACACAATGAATGGACAGACACCACACATTTCCCCTTTTCGAATAAAGATAATCCTCAACTTAGAAATTCATCTTTGTGAATTAATATCTATTCAGATAAAAACCACTAAGTTATATCTTCTACGTTTATACTATGTAAGTAATTCTAATTATTTCATGTCGTATGATTCATCTCGTATGTACATTATTATCATTGCGTTTATTGAGTATAGTCCTTCACATAATTCTTCTAGGATATCTTGGTACATTTTTTCTACAACATTATGATCATTGTTTCTACCCTGTACATTCACATTTTAAAAAATTATAATTAATAAACCGTAATTACATGGATTATGGCCCTTGAATGTACAAAAAATCGTGTTTTTAGTTTGTACTCTGCCCGTTACTTGCAAAATGTGTGCATATCTAGCATGGTAATCGTGTGTTTACTGTTATACAGACTGTGGGTAGTTTTCATTGAAAATACTAAGGGGGGTTGGGTGGCCGAATGGTTAGCACGTGCGCGCTGTATCATAAGGTTTGTAATTTAGTCAACTGGCGTGGTTTCGATTCTCCGTGACAAGGAGTAGGGTCGCCTGTCCAACCTTATGGGTTTTCTCCGGGTCCTCCGGTTTCCTCCCACTGCTAAAGACCCCTACGTACACGCGAATTATTGAAATAAAATTGAACCATATGTTAGTCCCGAAATGATCTGGTTTGTGTCGAGTGGACACTACCGAATTTCGAAATCAGAGTGGTTACTGATGGTTTTGCAATAGAGGCTATGGATTTTTTTCAAACTTTGTGTAAAGCATAGGGTCACGAGAGGTCAATCCATATCGATAATCAACTTCCGCGATCGTTTTTCCCGGATTCATGCTCTCTTTTCCGAAAACCTTATGAACGTTATAAACGCCTACGGATTATTTTAAAATTGGTTTGAACCATTGAGGTCATCAGAGAACGACCCCCTAACGATATTCAGCGATTCAGCGATCCGCGCCCTTCTTTCCGGAGTCATGCCCTCATTTTCGAAAAGCTTGTGAACGTGATAGCAGCTACAATCTTTGTTTCGAGACAAAGCTGCTGTATGAGCGTATTCTCCGCTTTACGTATCTTTGTTATTTAATTTTATCGCATTGTGTCTTTCAGCTTTCCTTACAATCGGCGTACCAACAATTAACAGAACTGGAGACACATATCTACTAAACACAATAGAGTCACTGGTATCCAGTATGTCAGAATCGGAGAAGAAAGATGTCATAATCTTAATTTTCTTAGCTGATACTGATCAAGCTGTTAAGAGTGTGTTATCAACGGAAATTATGAAAAAATTCCAAGAGCATATAGTTTCTGGTTTAATCCAATTAATACAAGCCCCGGCGTCATTTTATCCTAACAACCACATCAAAAGACTAACTTATGGCCAAGGAAAGGATTACGTACAATGGCGCGCAAAGCAGAATTACGATTATGCCTTTATGTTTAAATATGCTAAGGATCTCTCCACGTATTATATGCAAATAGAAGATGATGTTCACACAAGACCGGGATATATTTCATCTATTAGCGAGTTCATAAAAACTCAAGATAATTGGATTTGTTTGGAGTTTTCCGAACTGGGATTTATTGGAAAGTTATACAGGACGGAACACATGGAAAGACTTGCCGTGTTATTAATGATGTTTTATACTGAACAACCAGTCGATTATACTTTTTTATTTTTTAATAATTTAATGACACAGTTCAGTCGAATAATAAAAATACCCACGCTGTTCCAGCATATGGGATTGCATTCGTCTTTCCCAGGAAAACTCCAGCGATTAAAAGACAAATTTTTTGATAACACAACCAAATTATTCAAAGGAGACAATCCTCCTGCGGATATCTCCACGAGTTTGTCAACTTACTTGACTTTTATCCCAAAACTTGCCTACGTCACAAGTGAAGGTTTTTTTTGGAGTCATGGGGGTGCGAAAAACGGTGACACGTTTACTGTTATTTTTCAAAGTCCCCAGCGATTAAAACGAGTTGTGGTGATGAGCGGTACTTCGTCTCATCCAGATGACAGAATTTATGAAGGGAATTTAGTAGCAAGTTTGACTCTTGCAAAAAGTGAAGATGGTGGCCAAATGTGTACGAACGATATTGAAATAGGAACATTTGTGAAAGGCAACGTGGATAACGCGAACTTATTAGAGAAAATAGCCTTTAAAGTAATGTGTTTACGTATAACAATAACAAGGGACCAGAATCCATGGGTGATTGTGAAGGAAATCGCAGTGTTTATCTAACAAAACGGGAATTTCTTAGAACTATATTTTATTATGCACAAGGGACTAGATTGCTACTTGCTAGTACCTTACCCATTTGAAAAGAATCCTTATCTATAAATACCATACTTCTGGTGGCCTGTATTCTCCACCATTTAGAATACAATCGAGATAAGCTGCATTGAAAAGCCAGACTGTCTGACTGATGGTACCAATACCGTTGCCCATTACCCTGCCATATGACGGAGTTCGGCAACACGTCTGCCACTCCCTCCCAGCAAGTATAATGAATCAATTATAATCGATTTTTTGTTGAATCTGAATGTCAGTAAGTTGGCTGTTATCCCCAGGTTTTATCCTAATGAGCCCAACAGCTTGTTTGTCTTTAAGGCTGAGCGCACATTGATACAAATACACACCAAAACAGAAAACAAACGCATGTAGCTGTTTTTCTTACATCAATGCGTTAAAATACAATAAACAATGGTTTAACTAAACAAGATTGCAGTTGACCAATCATGTTGAACAACGCCAGTACCGTATGCCATTCAAAATGACTACTCCCATCGAATTATTTAATTGATATATGAGCCGAAGGCAGGGGCGGATCCAGAGGGGGGGGGGGCTCTAGATGCCCCCCACCCCCACCTCGGCTACATAAAATGTTTTGTAAAACAACCTTTTTTATGACAAAAGTGTCATAATTGTGCTTTATCCTTTATCGTCAGATGGTGCGACAGGATGGGCACTCAAAGCGCGAGATATTGATATAGACATATATGTGACATCACAATTAATGCTTTGCATGAATAAAATTGAATCACAATGTCATCGTATTAATTCATAATAAAAATTGACGTCAAACAGGATGTTGGATTTATCTGTTTAAAAAGCTCAATGTGTATGTATATACGTCAAAATGACGATAGATACCATGTAATCCTCAAAAAAAAATTCAAGCCGAGGGGGGGGGGGGTATATTTTCTCAGGAACCTGGCAAAAACCCTCCTGCAAAAATTCCTGGATCCGCCTCTGGAATGACGCTACTTCTGTAAAACACTAAGTTTCATCACTCTCTATCAGAGTTATCTTGTCCCAAAGCATCGAACAACGACATTGCTTAGCTCGTCTTAGCTTTAGCTCGAAATGTTAATCATTGAACTCAGTCAAGATATTCACCTAATGATCATCTACATTAAGTTTAAACATTCTACCTCAATTAAAAGCAGAGTTCTTATGTTCCACAGTCTTGACTAATCAAATTGCTTATCGCTCCTAGGCCAAAGCAGAAAATACTCATTATGGAACTTAGTCAATGTATTGATGTAATGAAACTATACACCAAGTTCCATCACTCTCACTTAATTAGAACTAAAGTTATCCTGTCCCAAAGCATCAACCAATCAAATTGCTTATCTCTGCTTACCCAAAACAGAAAATGCTCATCTTCGAACTCCATCAAGGCATTGACCTAATAAATACCTACACCAAGTTTGAACATTCTAACTCAATTAGGAGAGGTATTGTGATCCATAACGTGTGACGAACAGACAGACGGACGGACGAACCCATTTTAATAGACTCCTGCTATCTTCGAAAGGCGGGGGGGGGGGGGCAATTTTCTTAAATTTAATCTATGCCACCATTGATTTTACTACCTAGACAGGGTGTTCTTTGTTACTTCATATGTGTTTGTGGACGCGAATGTATGCTTGATAACGACCAGTGAAATCATGTCGTTCAAACGTCGTGTGTATATAATATAGTGATGGTCCACAACATTGATTTACCAGAAGTTTACACTATTTGTTGCATACTAGGGGCGGTCATTTTGTCTGGCAGTTTTGGCCCAATTTTCACGCAATTCGAGCTCAACAAATATTACGGTGTAACGGTGATATATTCGAATTTTTTTTTTATATCAGATAATAATAGTGACCTCTAGAGGGACCACAAGCTAAAAACGCGATTTTTCGTACAATCAGAGGCCATAATTCAGGATGTTACGAATATGTGCGAATATTGAAAGGGACCGAGATCTTTGGGTTATAAACATGCATTTCAAGTTTCATCAAAATCGGAATAAAATTGTGACCTTTAGAGTGTCCACAAGCTAAAAACGTGATTTTCCGTACAATCAGGGGCCATAATCCACGCAGTTATGGTCCGATAAATGGAAAGGAATCGAGATCTTTGGGAGATAGACCTATATTTCAAGTTTCGTCAAAATTGGATAAAAATTATGACCTGTAGAGTGTCCACAAACAAATTGTGGACGGACGGGCGGACAGGGGCGACGACAATATACGTCCACATGAATATGTGGGCGTATAAAAAAAAACATCCTGTGTTTCCTAGGTTTGGTTGAATTTTATCTTTATGACCTTATTGCCATTACATTCAAAATTTATAAACTATTGGTCTAATCTCTTGCTTCAACCGATTGAAATGGAGTTTAACGTTCCACTTTTCTGGACCGACTGGGCTAATGAAGACGGACTATGCCTTCCAGTGTGCTATAAGGTAATTTTTTCCACGACAGCGGCGCAAGGTCCTATTATTTTTTCGAATTCCAAATGTCAAAGTTTCTTTTACGTGACTGCCAACGTGTACGCGGGGCCTCGGTTTTTCGTGCAGTAAGTAATATGTCAATGTAAACATTGTTAAAGATCCCCATAATACAGTTTAACATTGGTTTAATTTATACAGATCTTCATGAAAGGGTATAATAATTATGCAAACGTAAAAAGTTAAAGGGCTAATCCCGATAATTTTTTGGAGAATAAAACTGTTTAATTTTGTTTTAAAATCCCTTAAAATCCTCTACCTAAGGGCCGAGCAACTAACACAATATTTGTGATATGTTTTAAAATAACTGAAACCCATCAGTCTCCATCTGGAAATGGAGACCGGTGTCCCAAGCTGTATTATGCTGTGTCCAGATAAAACCAGACATTTTTTGTATTAAAAAAATGTGTAGGTGAAATCTACCTTTCATTATCAGGTACAGCATTTGGGTCATTCACTGCATAGACCTCTCAATGAACAGGAATCGATTATCAGGTCTCCCAACGAAAAAATTGACCCAAAATCTTAAAAGGGTTACGTGTCCGGATAAGCAGTTTTGACGGTCACGTCCAAACGACTCAATATTTTGAGCTGAAATTTTAAGATACGGTCAATACACCATTCCTCTACATTTTGGCGTTAAAATTTCATACATACTCAGATTTTAATTTTAAGGCTCTGTTCAAATAAGGGATAGCCCCTTTAACATTGGTGCTAGTGTGCCCTACCCACATTACTATTCTTCTCCGTTATACAAACACGTACATCTCGATATATCTCAGACCAAGGTTAAAGTTGCCACACTAAACTTGAAGACATCACTTTTGTTTGGTATTTCTTATTTTTAACAAGTATATTTGGCAATTTTTATTCTTTTATCAGAACAGGTGCTTCTTCTATCAGGTCTACTTCAATACCAATCATAATGAGCCTTGTTACCAATGCCAGACATTTACTGCAGTTGTATCACAGCATTTCATTGGCTAGTACATGTATATATTTACCAGCCAATCAGCAGTTCGAACAAAAATATTGGGTTATAAATGCAATGGTTAGAGGGAGTTCAATGAACACTTGTATTTTGGAGATGATATAAACTTTGAAAACATCAAGGATATACATATGGATTTGGCGCTCTACAAATGTACATTATTATTTATTATTATTACTCTTCAAAAAAAGAAATGCGCAGCATATTTTTCATCCTTTTTTATTTGAACGGGATCTTTGTTTCCATAAATCTTACTTGTTTTTAATGTCACTATGTAAGTATTAAAGAAATTCAGTATTGGTTTTAAATGTAGGGTCACTAATTGTGACTATCATACTTTTTGCCGAAATTTTTTTGTGCTCGATTGCACCAAGTCACACGAGTTTAACAACTTTGCAAGCTTTTCGCATGAAACTCAAATCTAAGGCCTTTCAATTCCCAGGCTCTCGGTTTTAAAATCAGTAGCTCATGTAAACACTCAACGAGCCAAGGGGGGGGGGGGGGGAACCGAATGGTTAGCATGTGTGCGCTGAATCATAAGGTCAGCTGACGTGGTTTCGAATCCCCGGCTGTACGTGACAAGTAGGGTCGCCTGTCCAACCTCGTGGGTATTCTCCCACTGCTAAAGACCCCTACGCGCAAGCAAATTATTGAAACAAAATTGAAACATGTGTTAGTCCCGAAATGACTTAGTTTGGATTGAGTGGACATTAAACCCCATTTCTCTCTCTCTCAAGGAGCCAAGTGATGCCACATCTGAACGAAGACCAATGCTACAGCAGTTGGTTTCAGACAGATGTAACCAGGCTGCTGAATGTTTCCCAGAGTACCATTTCTCGCCTTTCGGATAGGTACCGACAGCGATGATCAACACGTGACCGGCCAAGCTCAGGCCAAATAAGAGTGGCCCCACTTGCCCTGGATCGTCACATCTGGTTACGTTATTTGCAGAAACGGTTCACAACAGCAACCTCTACTGCAGTAGCAATTACTGGGCAGCTTAAGATCCCAGACCGGACAGTCCATAGACGCCTACGTGAAACCGTATTACGGGCCAGACGTCCCGTTAGAGCTGTTGTTTTGAAATAGGCCGACACTGTCAAATTGGACTTCAAAGGGTTCAAACACACAGGGTATGGCCACAGCAACGCTGGAGAACAGTTTGGTTCAGCAACGAGTCACGGTTCCTGTTGCAACGAGGCAATTGTAAAGCGAGGGGATACCACTATGCGTTTCTTTTTTTTTGGAAGAGTATATTTTCTCATCTGGAATACTAGACAAAAATTAAATTGGGTTAAATGTCCTACTTTTCTGTTCCATCCGTGTTAATGAAAACAGACATTTGTCATGCAGTGCGCCATGAAGGAAATTTTGCCTGGACAGTAGTACTACAGGCCTGTCGAGAGTAAAGTTTTTTTTTTATATTTTATGTCCAATCTGAATGACTAGACACTGTTCCATGCCAGACCCTCTGTCATGCATCACTGATAAGGTGAAACCACTCTAGAAAATCCTAGAACTTTTACAGCCAACACCAGCACTGAACCCAGGATCTCCAGGTTTGCGAGCTAGTACCTTACGCACTGAGCCACTGCCACTCGGGAATAGGCAATAATTTAAGAAAGGTTCTCAAAAATGGAAACAAACAAAAGTAATATTATTACATCAAATGATTTATATTTTTACACATTTACATGATAAGTTATATTACTTCATTCTCTTCAAATAATAAAATGTACCGTAACTATTAAAACACTCACAAAAAGTTAAAATAAGGAATATATTTAGCTATTTTGCTTCATTTAAATCGACAGGAGATATCCTAACTTGACATTTGAATTACTTAATATATATAATGATGATGAAAAAAATAAATATGCAGGCCTGCAATAAAAAGAGATAATGTTTTTTTTATTGGATTAAGGTACTAAATTGTGAATTTTAGGTAACGTAACACACATTTACTGCAAACAAAAATACAAATGGTGGGTGGTGGTGGTGGTGGGCAGTCCTCTTCTGATAATTTTGCCCTGCAAATAATTAAATTGAGTTAAGATTGAATTAGTATCAGTCCCCCAAAATAGAATTCTATGAATCAAACACACAAACAAATGAGTCTAGAAGAATCCTTTCATTCTCGGAAGTAAAAAAAAATCTACTCTCCAGTTTTGGCGTAGTTTGTTGTTTTAATGAAACACCGCCACAAACCTAACATGACATTCGGCATTGTTTATAAACATCGTCACATTCACTAAAAAATAGGATCACGTTTCTTCATTTTCGGAACTGATTTTTTTCGGTTCTCATCATTTGGCTGCCTGTTTTCTCAACATACTGTAGATGCCTTGTTTTACCCATTCCTTGTTGTGTGGTACGTACAATCCAGTCGATTTTTGTTGAACAAGACAACTGAGATCCGCCAATTGCTCAATGAATTCAAACAGCTGACTAATATCGTATGTAATGCTTTGTTGATCAGGATTCAATCGTTTCAAATGTTCTTCAAAGATTTTGCACACACCTTCCAAACATTCGTTTAAAGATTCGTAGTCAGAGTATGTTCTGGTATCTGGTCGAGAGTGTGGTTGTACGAGAAGAATGGTGTGAGACATTTTGACAAAATGAACTTATGTTAGAGAAATGGTGGTAAATATAGTGTTATTTTATTCTCTCAGCAACTGCGAACACAACAAAAATGGCGACGGCTAGTCGTGGCTGTAGTCAACATCATCTAGACATGTATACGCTATTCTATATGACGGATCACTAAGTCTCATTAATCGAGACATCTTTCGGTTCCGGTTTTAAAGTCGTTTCGCTCCCAAGGCATATTATGTGAGTTAATTGGCATAATGTTACTACATGAACACATGTATTTATGCAGACGTTCTAACAGTTTCTCTCACACATCGTATAAATACCCAATATTCATTCTATAGCTAATTTAGGCTAGGATGCAGAAGAAAAATATATCCACATAAGGTTTTTTACCCCCCCCCCCCCCGACACACACATTTTGCTGCAAATTTTTTTTTTTAATCAACTATAAAATCTGTTACCTTTATAATGTTATATTAAGACGAATTACTTGTCAAGAGTTCATCTTCACTGCCCGAGTCATCTGTATTGGCGAATGTTGAAAGGCTTGGTGAACTACTTAAATCGTTTAATAAAGCTATCTGTACATCTGTTAGCTTAACGCCAACTTTATATCGACGATGTTTTACAATCATAAACGTTAAGAACAGTAAAAAGTTGAAAGGATAGGTGAGAACGAGATAACCAGTATATTTCCAAAACTCTGAAAGGAGAATTTGAACCCCTTTAAATTAGTCGGTCGAATGATACTAATAATAACAGTACCGTGTATTTTATAATGCCAACATTCCATTCAATGTATGCTCATGGCACAATTATTGTCAACTCTCCACATTTACATGTACTGCAGATATATGTCTTTAATTGTGAATTCAAAGATTCAACGCCCCGTGAGTTCTTTATTCCTAAGGAAGGGAATTTCATAGGGTAGATGATATGTTTCCAAATAATTAAGTCTAAAAGTATGTACCGTTTAACCGTTTAAAGATATTCATTTCGCGATCATTTTACCACTTCAACACTGCTAATTTAAGGCCGATTCAAAAGCCATCAATTCAATGAAATGTCACCAGATCGAGTAAATCCGATAGATCATCAAGATATGTTATTAACAGACTTTGGCCTTTTTTTCTCAACATCTGTACTTTTATGAAATGAAGTAAGATCAATCTCTAATACTTACCTTTACTATTGTCAACAAAAACTGAAATATAGTAATAATATCCCGGTATACAATCAGTTTTACAAGTTAAGGAGACTCTCTCAAATATTTTTAAAGGCACAGAATGTTAAAAATACACTATACACAATCTTCACTTGATGATAAATAATTCCTTGGCCTCTATTAAAGATGCATTATGCAAGAGCTAAATCTGCCCATTGCAGGTCTTTTTTCTGGCTTTAAATGTTATATACATTTTTAATTAGACATTTATTCACATGACAAGCACATAATCAACTTTCTAGACCATCGGATTGCCGATATATTAAATGGATACAAATTTAACTTTAAAACGGTTAATCGAAACATTGTTGTTTTAGAGACTATCTACATACTTATTGTCGAAACTTCAAACACCCAGATAGGAACAAATCGACTGAAATTTTCGATATATTCATTTTTCATTATCTATATGTGAACTATTACAGCAAGAACGACAGGCCCTTTACTGATCCATTCACTGAATTTGATATGTTCGTTTGTTTGTGATTTCTGCGTACTGTGTCTTGTCCATAGATTTGTTTTGTGTAAATTATGTGTGGGGCAGTCCCCCTACACTTACTAATAATGTTAGTTTATTATATTGAAAGCAAGGAGGGGGTGGGGTGGCGGGGGTATTTTATTAAAGATACAATACCTTTTAGTCTAAACTCTATCTGCTCTTTATGGTCTTTAATACACTGGTATTTACCATCATCTTTTAGGGTTACTCGGTAGATTCTAAGTATATTATGAGCATCTATATCTACCCTGCCATTGGTTAGATTTCTGACAATAACACCGACTAAAGGGCGGGTGTTGTTTAACCATACCACAACGGAATCAATCTGGGCTCTATATAACAATAATATATTAATACATTATTAAAGCCGCAACATTCTTGATTAAATGGCAAATATAGACTTTCAGATCATGATCATATAAACAATAACATGTAGTCTTCCTAAAACTTTAATCAAAAATTTAATTTTTAATTATTGATCAACCCTAGTGTAAGTTATGGCCACCTGAAGTTAACATTACTTTATTAATTTCATACCGCCATCCGTTTGGCTTTTATACCATCCAGTTGACACATAAAAGATAACTCATTTCGAACTATGAACATCGAGGCCACCTAACTATTTTAAATCATCTAAATCACTTTTTTTTTACGAAATTAATTCAAATGTCTAAGTATTTAATTGTTGCAATTTTTAGATAATAGTTCGTATTCGATCCTTAAAGGACAATATTGGTTTCAGTCATTATAAAATATGTGATAGAACTGGTTAAATGAATCCCAAATATAATTTTAACACAAAGATCATTGCTACGGGAGATGTGTAACAAGTACGTGAAGAAACGGGAAGTGACGCCAAACATGACAAACACGAGTTATCCTTCTATATAACTGATTGAATTAACGAGCGATAACAGACACGCGATTTTCATTTCACTGATAATTCAGTTGAAGATGAAAAGTTATTATATGAGACGGTGAGAGGATATCTGACAATTCAAAAATAGAATTTGGAATCTATCACTTATGTAATAATGACTGACACCAATATTGTCCTTTAATATTTATAGTATGATAATAAAAATACCCTGGACAAATCAGGAACACATCCTTTCCTGCTTCAATTTTTAACGTCTTCTTCAACATCCCTAAAAAATATATGCACAACTTTTAAAGCGCAGTTTGAATATGGTCATGGAATATTGTGTATTACTACGGCGCAATTTTAAATGCTTTGTTTAAAAGGTTGGTTCTTAAAATCATAAAGTCTGCATAAAATTGCTCTTGCTATACTGTCCAACCTCGTGGGTTTTCTCCGGGTCCTCCGGTTTCCTCCCACTGCTAAAGACCCCTACGCGCAAGCGAATTATTGAAATAAAATTAAACCATATGTTAGTCCCGAAATGACCTAGTTTGTGTCGAGTGGACGTTAAACCCTATTTCTCTCTCTCTCTCTCGCTCTTGCTATAGTATTCATTACTACATTTACTTTGTTACATGGACAAAACACATACCCTTTTTCTTCTTTCCAAACAAAACATCAGTTAATCCAGAGATTCTCAACGCTTTACCTTGACCCGCGTCCGCTGAAATAATCAAAATGGAAAATACTTGAATATTAAGCCAATTGATCACACCAGGCGCGTATGCCCAGTCCCAGAGGGAGTGGGGTGTGGTCAGGAAATATATTTTTCTCCTACATTCATCGAAATAACATTGAACAAATAAACGTGTTAAGCATTGCCAATGAGTTGGACCTACTCTACTCCACTCCTATACATGTATGCACCCAATTGAGCAGAAATATTGTCTCAGAGCTTCTGATTTTATTATTTTCGGGTAATCCCTCGGTCTTCAAGCCAAATTTAATGTTGTCCCCAACCCGCCCCCACTCCATCCCTCCCGCTCCCGATAGAACTTCTTGAACAAGCCCCTTCACATATTATAGTAATTGCATGCCTATATGTACTATCTCGCACTTGTCGTTATGGTGGTTTTACTTTTTGATGAACATATAGCCAATGCAATCAGATTTTCTGGAAATAATGTTTGAAATGGTGGTTGTGGGATTCATTGTGGGAAGAGTACTATAAAAGTAATAGCTTTAGTAACTTGAGCCCGTCCCGGATTATGTTACAGTATTTGTTCCCCGATCAATTCGCTTTTATTCTAAGGAATTAAATTTGGTGATGAAGTATACTTTACCCGCTGTACATTTAACTTCACATGTTTCTTTTAATAGTTCGTCTGGTCGAGTTTTGAAGTCAATATGATTGGTGAAGACGGAAGAACGACACGGAACACCAGTAGGGTTTGAGGACAATATAGCTTCTATGTACCAGGGATGACAGAGTACATCAGGGTCAGCCTTCTTTACCACACAAACACCTAATAGATCAAGTATACACAAGTTTTAAATTTTGATTATCAACTAACCAATGAAAAGGGGCTAAACGTCCAACTTTTCTGAACCGACTGGTCTGGGCTAATGAACACGGACGTACGTAAAATATAGTGTGAATGTGTGAGATGAGGGAAATTCTGGCGGGACAGTGGCGCCTATTCCTATATCGAATTCCAACTGTCACGGGTTCTTTAACGTTCACGCCAACGTGTATACGAACTCGGTTTTTCATACCACCCAAACGACTATAGACACGGTCCTTCGACCAAACTACAAATCATACGCTCGCCGTTTATTTTACGCGTAATGGTCGTGCACAGGAGCGTAAATGTGTGTGTGTTGGGGAAGGGGGTGGGAATAGTCGGTCTCAAACTAAATGCAGTCGGTCTCAAAATTATGGATCGACGACTATCAATCTGATTAAAATTCTGGTAGAAACATCAACGCTGATTAGTTAATCATAAGTCTGACGTCATAGTGTCAAAAGCCGCTCGTATGACCCTGACGCTACCTCCCACCACAACTGGCCAGATCTTCATTGTAGAGGCCATCGAAAGTATAAAAAACAAAACGAAATATAGATCTGTATTTTAATCAGAATGGGCGACTATATGAATTAATAGGTTAAACAAACAATGCCAAAATAGAAGGGGAAAATCCCAAATACATAATCAAGTGGTCAAACTTGACTAAACGCAGACGATTGATGAAAATATGAGGACATGGTCATATCTTTGCTTATATATGTATATTCACCACAACAATAGATCACCACAACAATATTATATCGAAGATATAGGCAGGTCCCGCCAAAACGGTACTCCGGGCCATGGGACAAGCAGCTCTGTGAGGAGGTGGGTCGCCCCACCTCCCACCCCCGGACTCGTATCCGGGGGTCACTTTGCTAAAATACAGAAACCGAGATTTAACACAACAACATAATACATTCTAAATACATGTACTACGTTTTAGTTTACTGATGTAATAATAATCAAATGTGCACAATTTTGACCGGACATTTTAAGCGAGCAAACAAATGGAAAACAAAAACCGTGATCAACAGGCGTAAACCATTTGTTTTTTTTATTTTTTTCAACACTCAAAATCATGCTGAATTGGATTCAAACGGAAGGGGCCCCCGCGGCGCGAATGCCCGGGCAGGTGGCTTATATAGTTTATAATTCACCGATTTCTTCTACTTTACGATAAAAAATAACAGTGTTTTTTTTTTTTTTTGTTAATTTATACCAACAAAATAAAAAAAGTTACTCCGGGTCCCTCACGGCTGCGGGCCCCTGGATATAGAGCCATGTAAATGATGTAATTATTAACATTTTCATAAGTTTTCACAGAGTCACAGTACTTTGTACTTTTACTTACCCAATCTTTTTCGTTCTCCTTGTTTGTCACATTTACTACATCGACCCCATTTCTGCCAATCAGTAAACAGTTCGAGATTTTCGTCTTCTGTGATAAACAAACCATGCTGATGTAATTATATATATAAAGGGTGAAATAAGGTGTTAGTCGCGTCAATACAATTTCATTATTGTTGGTTTTATTCCATTTCTATGGTTATGTGTGCAATGCGAGGGATACAGTGGCGTTTCCGCTTACTATTCGTTAATTGCAATATTTTCAGTGCACGACAATCTTTGAGCGGATGGACCCTGGCTCCACAAGTGAGAAAAATCAACGCCGAGATTCAAATCTGAAATAGTCTGACGGTTAAAGCTAAAAGTTAAGGCTCATTGCAGATTTCGCCATGGGTCACGGGATGTAAATAGGGTTAGGTTTAGGAATTTGGGGAAGAGGTCAGTGCTTATGTAGAGATTTAAACCTCACCCACAAACTCTTACACCTAACCCACAATCTCGTCAACAACCACGTGCCCTAACCCTATTTACATCTCATGACCTATGACGAAATCTGCAATAGGCTTAGCTTTTAGCCTTTACCGGCCCCTAACCGCGGTCCCAAAGAAAGAAAAACTGACCTATAATAAAAATGGAATAAATATGGATAGCTTACCTAAAACTTCGGATGGACTTGGACTTCTTGTTAATATTCCATTTTCTGCAACTGAATTTGTTTTACAAATATCAATATGATCTAAATGATGGGGATTGTATTCAGTTAGGAAATAAATGGGAAGTGGTATCACGTTCACATTTTATGGCTGCATTAAAATTGTAGAGTAATGTTCGATCAACGCAATCTGATTAAAATACTGGGCCATTATTCACGAAAACTTAAACTAAGGTACAATCGAAATTTTAAGAAATACTGCAATTCGATTGGCTGACCAGTAAAATCAATTTGCATATATACAATGAAGTTGCAGTATTTCTTAAAATTTCGGTTGTAACTTAGTTTAAGTTTTCGTGAATAAGGGCCCAGATCTATATTTCGTTTCGGTTTTTTATACTTTCGATGGCCTACTCTACATGCAGATCTGACCAGTTGTTTTGAGAGGTCGCGTCGGAGGTCATACGAGCGGCTTTTGACCCTATGACGTCAGACATTTGATTAACCAATCAACATTGATGGTCCTAGTGGATTACCCACAGTTCCGTGCATCTCACACCAAAGGCTAATCCCTCACAACATCCAGAACACGTCAACGATAACAACTCTTCCAGGCCCTAGTGTAGTAAAGACAAGTACAACGAAATTTGGCCGGGCTGTTGAATTTTCTCGTTCAACTTTTACGAAGACCCCCAATGTGTATAGTATCCAACCATAAGATCACCACATTCATTTTGTAGATTTTTTTTTAATTTCCGCTGTGTAGGTGTTAGGCTAAAAAGTAGCAAGTGGGCTTCAGATATATAACTTAGGCTGCCTGTCTACAGCTAGCTCCGCCTGAGATCATTCTCGAAGTATGACGTAGATGGATCGCTGGGTGCAGTATGAACGTTTCGAACACCAAGACGTCATGGATTGGGACAATTTAGCCGTGACTTCTTAGTGTCATAAATAATAAGTTTTCTTAATATTAATGACGTTTTTTTTGTAAATTATTCAGTACCTTCATCAACCGGAATTTTGCTTGGTCTTAAAACTGAAATAAAAAACAAAATAGAGTAAATTAGATTTTAAATTCACTGTAAATACTACTATACATATTATATATTCAATTTAACAGGGTATAACTATAGCAATATAAGTAAGTGCAGGAGGACCGCACCACACACAAACAAAACCTATAAGACAAGCATCTGCGGACAAGAGACACAAACTATATAAACATTGCAAGCAGTAAGCAACAAACGTAAAATATCAAAACAAGCGAATGGACCCGGGGTCAATGGTAAGCGTCCACTGCGCTGTACAGTCCCGGGCCTGTAATGATGCAGGCTTCAATATAAAAAAGGCAAACATGGATATAATAGACACAAGAAAGACGCAATAGAAATGGAGCGACCGGTCACAATTGTATGGAAAACAATTACTGTGTCTTACTGAGCGACGTTTTGACTATAGGCTTCTCTAGTTTTTATTTATCAAGCGATTATATAGAGCTTACTCCACCATTAATGGAAATAAGATATCGACCCAATCCAATCCTTTATTTTGACATAAAACAATCTAATTTACTGTAAATCTAAACGAAATGACATGAAAGTATGGTGTAATTCTTAATTATTATAGACTGGAATTGTTTCAAGGCTACAATCACCCCGCTTGCCCTAGGTTTCGGAAATGTACCTACCGTCTAAATGGTAGAAGAAGCGGAATTTATCTGTATCACTCAAAATGGTTTCTATAGCCTCTTGTGTCATAACAGATTTAATTAGTCGATCTGTCGTGGAGAAATCATGGCAGATATATGAACCAGCGTCATCTATTCATATTAAGACAAAAATACATAATGGCATGTTGCATGGAATGAAATGATGTTTAACGTCCTACTTTTCTGCACCGACTCGGGCAATGCAGACGCACATACGCTATACAGTGAGCTATATTTCTCAAGGATCGTTTACGTGCACGCCAATGGCAATGTGTACACGGGATTTCGAACGACTAGACAATGTTCCTTGCCAGGTTTCCTGTCCTGCACCACTAAAACCATGCATGCCGGAAAGTCCAGAGGAACTTTCTTGGCCAACATCGGGAGCGAACCTGAGACCTCTTTGTTAGCGAACCAGCGCCTTACTCGCTGAGCCACCGCGACTCCCATAAAAATACATACGCTTTATACAGAGTGACTTTGAGAAATGGTGACAATATTCTTGGACAAATAATGATGGGTTGATAATTTGCTCTTCGCTGAGCTGTATTTATATAGGCATGTACAGACGAAACGATGTATACTGTGTTCGATTATTACAATATCGCAAGCAATTGTACCTTCTGTTGCTTTTTTAATGACCAGAGTATGGTCAACGGTTTTATACACTCGATTTTGGCTTTCATCATCGTGCATGTCTAAACCCACTTCCATAAACGCATAACCACCATCTTCATGTTCACGTTGTAGTCGATACCAGTTCATAGATGCAAAATCTTCTGACTCGGGATCACCACTACAATTCAAACAACAGTTATACACAGTTACTGTAATCTGATTGAACAAAGGTTACTAGATAGCGTTTCTCTTTATAAGTTATCAAATAGTGAAAACAAAACGATTAACAGTGCAGGAAAACTGAACAACAAATCGCAGACAGATTGGGGTAAATTGTAACGCCATGTGAAATAACCAAATGACAGTGTCCATGATCATGGTTTTCAGGAAAGAGTGCGCGGCACTAACCACAAATCGCAGGATAAGACAATTTAATTTAAATAAGATAACAATTTCGTGTGTATAATTTTTTCTGATTTTACATTAAATAATTGTAATCTAACCTATTTTCTATCATAACCAAGTTCTGTCAGAAGGCTCCATTCTTATAAACCATAATTATACTAGAATTTATATTTAAAGGCAACATACTTGAAATGGGGTTTAACGCCCTACTCTTCTGTACCGACGGGACCAATAAAGACGGGTATAGCCAACAGAATCACGCGTATATACGCTTGGGTTTTATATCAATGTATTTATAAATGTATATCAATACAGACAGTATGATTGGTCAATAGCAATCTGATTAAAATACAGATTTATATTTCGTTTCGTTTTTTATACTTTCGATGGCCTACACTACATGAAGATCTGACAAGTTATAACAATAGGTCACGTCAGGGGTCAAAAGACCGACTTATGACCCTATGACGCCAGACAATTTGATTAACCAATCAGCATTGATGTTACTAGTGGATTACCCACAGTTCCGTGAAAAACACGCCTAAAGCTCGCCGTAACAGACCGTTTCATTGGCTTATCCCTGACACCATTCAGAACACGAGAAAAATAACAACTCTTCCAGATCCAAGTGTAGTAAAGACAAGTAAAACGAAATTTTGAACTATAAAAACGAAACGAAATAGAATCTGTGTTTTAGATTGGGTCAATAGGTCCATTTTCCAATGTTGTACAACGTCAAATTTAAAACTAAACTTGATATATCTGATTTTAACAGCTTAGAGTTGAGTCATGTAATGAATGATTGTTTCAGAATAGTAAAATACCGGTGCTGTAAGACATGGGAGTATAATATGGATCAGAAATCTTGTAGAACCGCAAAATATATTAAGAAATAGGAATATAAAATGGAATAGGGATGTTATTTTCAATCTCAAAACAAATGTCTGATTTTTTTTTACTGTATTAAAAATATAACCAACCAGAAGTGACAAGTGAGGGTTGCTGTTTCCTTGGTTTCAATCAGCAGTGAATATTGTATTGCTTTCTCATCAGCACTCTTCTTCATCATCTTTAGTTTCTTTGCACATTTGGGCCCCTTTCTGTCTAGAAATTATTTAAGACTAGAGATTAATATAATATAGTGCTTTCCGACTAATGTATTCTTTTTCACCCTATAATGAGTATGCATTGCCGTATTGTTCGCGTCCTTTACCCTTTGGAGCGCCTGATATCTGTACTACAGCATTTTTTGGATAACTTGAGCTGCTGGTAAGGTCGCTTTCAAATTGTTATTTGACACGTCAATAATACTGCCATCAAACAATATAAAATACCGGTATTTGTGAAGAACGAGTTACTAGGGTGATATTATTATTAAGTAAGAGCTATACTTACCATAGCCAGAACTACCCGTACCACTAGACCTTTTAATTCTTTTGGACGTACTATTGTAGATGTACTCATCGCTTCTTTCAGACGTAATGTTATAGATATATTCTTCATTGTGTAAGTCTAAACAAACAAAGAGAAAGTGGGGTCTATCCAGGGCCAGGCTAGTTATTTAGGCCAAAAACTTGACAATTAAATCTTTAATTAAATTAATTTAAAAAAAATTGATGTGGGGACTACAATGAAATTAAATTAATAACAGAAAAGTTGTTATGTCCATATATACCCTGTGTTGTGTATTGTTATGAATGAAATAATAAACTCAAAACTCAACCTATAGGCCTACTTCAGTACTTGTAATTATTCCTGTCGACAAGTTGATACAGTGACTTTCTATCTGAACTTATACCATATTACATTAATCACTAAGCAAATTATTTAATATAGGTGATCATATCCATCTTTCTAGAATGCTGATGTCAAGTTAATATTGCTGTTGTATTCGAGTCTATGATGCTGTTGTGACTAGCATATAAAACAAAAATGCTCCTAATAGTCCTAAATTTCAAAAACATCTTTAGCAGAATAGCAGTATGAGTTTGTTTTTTGTTTGTTAACAGTCGATTCCTTTGGTACGGTGTTAAAAACTTGTGGAGAGGTATCAAAATTAATAATAAAACAAATTTTTGGACCCCCGACGCCCTAACTAGCCACGTACGTACCCCCTGAATATGGATACCCCTAAATTAGCCAAAATAGCAGTTTTTCTGTCATTTCACAACTAACAAGTTTATTTAGAATACCTTTCACAGGTTCTTAGGTGGGTTTTGGTGATCTGCAGTCTGAATATGACATTGAAAATGAGCCGCGACAATCCAATCCAATATAGGCCAAAGTGGCACCGCAAATATGTATTTTTTGCCTTTCGAGTACTTTCGACCAAAAATAGTGTTGTAATATTATGTCGACTACTATGTTTTCGAGGGCGTGGAATCCGAACTTTTGGTGATTTCAAACAAAAAAGAAACCACTAACAACATATCTATCATGTGGTGAAATATTCATCAATATTCATTATTAAATATCATTATTTTGGCAAAGTTAAGCTATCGTTACATCTGCTTTACAATTGAGATTGCTTACGCAGGCCTTCAAATTTACCCCTTAAACAGATGCTGGCAACTGTTTATGGTCCTTTAAAAAAACAGAATCTGTCACTTTGTTTAAAGGGCTGTATCTCGACCATATCTTACTTCGATATAATTAAATGATTGTTTCGCCTTTTGTCACAGAAAAAGTTTGCCTTTTCCTTGACAGCTAGACTCTGTTGCTGCAAAAGCTTCTGTTTCTCGTCACACGTTTTCATTACAGCAGGAATTTCATACTTAGCGAAGTTACTATATCCTCGGAAGGTAGCAGAAGATTGGGATTCGATCAAGTCCCGGGAATTGGCTTTTACTTGCACAGTAAAATTCCGGGGTCAAATTGTTTTTTTCTGTATTATGGATTTTGATACCCCTCCACATATTTTAAGCACCGTACAGTATGGCTTCCTGAATATTTGTTGAATACCCCCCCCCCCCCTCACTAGTAGTACTACAGTAGGCCCATATTCTATAAAGTAGGAATAGGCCTACAGGTTCTTATGGGGGTGGGGGTGGGGGGTGGCCAAATGGTTAGCACGTGCGCACTGTATCATACGGTCTGTCATTGACTCAACTGGCGTGGTTTTGATTCCCCGGTTGTACGTAACAAGGAGTAAGGTCGTCTGTCCAACCTCGTGAGTTTTCTCCGGTTTCCCCCCACTGCTAAAGACCCCCTACGCGCAAGCGAATTATTCTTATTGAAATAAATTTGAACCATGTGTTAGTCCCGATTTGACCTAGTTTTTGTCGAGGACGTTAAGCCCCCCCCCCCCTCTGATACTGCACTTACCCCGTGTGCCGTTTTCGTGTAGTTCTATATACTCAATTAAATCAGAAGGCTCAATCTCAGGCAAACCTAAGTCTACTTCTTCTCCATCCAATTTTATTTGTACTTTTATGCACAGGATTCCTGGAGTGGAAAAAAATAGCTCACGGCAAGGACTAGGCCTATACAACAAATAAACGTCACAGGGAAAGATGCGTGGTAGCCTTTTACTTTAGAAAGAAAGAATATGCGATTGCTTTTGTTCAATATAACCGTCGTCTAAGCTTAAATAAAAGATTTTCTTCTCCAATGAAAAATTAAAAAAAAAAAAAAAAAAAAAATAGGCCTAGATGTAGATCTAAGCCTAATCAACAGATGAAATGATCCCTTGACAGTTGGAATTCGATATAAGAGTAGCCAAGGCTATAGGGCCGCTATCCGGGCAAAATTTCCCTCATAGTGAAATGAAATGAAATTAAATTAAATGAAATGGGGTTTAACGTCCTACTGTTCTGCTCCTATACTGGGCTAATGAATACGGGCATACGCCATACAGTGTGCTATGTGGGAAATTTTGCCTGGGCAGCGGCACTATCGCCTACTCTTATATCGAATTCCAACTGCCAAGGGATCTTTTACGTGCATTCCAATGTTTACACGGGACCTCGGTTTTTCGTCACATCAGAAGGGCTAGACAGTTGTCCGTCTCCGGTGTCAGGCCCTCCGTCCTGCATCACTGACAAGGGGAAACCACGTCGGAAAATCGGGATGAACTTTCTCGGCCAATGCAGGGATCGAACACCCGACCTCCAGGCTAGCGAGCCAGCGCCTTACCCACCTAGCCACCGTGGCTCCCTCATAGCACACTGTATGGCGTATGCCAGTCTTCATTAGCCCAGTTCGGAGCAGAACAGTAGGACGTTAAACCACATTTCATTGCATTTTGATTTCATTTGTCTAAGCTAGATCTACTTCAGTACGTATGAACGCATTATTTATCATGATACTTGTATTTTGTAAGTCTATTCTGTAGCTGTAGGCCTAACGGTGCTTGAAACCGCACTTTGGATAAACGCCTTGAATCAGAAAATAAAAACAACAAAAAAAACCAAAAAACTGTTTACCGACCGACGAGGACCACCAGATTGTTAACCGGGCCTTACCAAATTTCAAATTTAGCGTGGTTAGTAAAATACAGAATATGAATAACATCGCCAAAGTCGCCTATAAATTGTCTAAAACTAGTGAAGCAGACGCTTCTTGCAAAATGTCTATGACGTCCGAGATAAAGTGACGTCATACAATTGAATTTGCAAATGACGTCACGTTACTTATGCAGGTGCGCTCTATACATTTAGGATGAAAGTAAAAGAAAGGTATTCTAGTTTTATATTTTGATGTACATTATAAAAGTCAAAACATTTTGCGACTGCGAATTTCTTTTTTCTTTATTACCTTAGGATTTTTGTATTTTATACTTGCAGCCTCGAAGTTTTAGTTGGTGGTTATTTCGTGTTGTATTTTTCAAAACATATATCATTTTGAAGCCATTCATCTTCCCGCCTTCAATCGTACTTAATTTCAAACATTTTTGTTAAACAGTGGGTTTGCGGGTTTAATTTGATCTTATCGTACTTGTGACGAACTATCTGCTCAATCGATTGCATTGGTTACGAAGTGGTTATGGTTTGAAAAAGAGGCGGCAGCACAATGGCGGCTGAAGAGTCTTTAGAAAGTAATGAAAATGTATATTTTTAGGAAATGTGGTTCTTATTAATAATTTGAAGATTATAAAAATACATAGATTAGAATGAAATTCCGTTATAACAATATTGTGTGAGCGTTCGTTCGCTAAGTTAAAAAGAAATTAATCAAAATGCAAGCGAACAACGTGGTTCGAGAACAATTTAGTAATTTTAATTTTTAGTACCGGTACCACCGTAGTTACTGTTTTTACTTAGTAATTACCGGTAGTAGCAAATAATTCTTAATTTCTAGGCTACAACGGTTCCGAATCGGCATATGACCTAAAAATTGACTAACCTGCAAATCTATTCGATTTTCTTTAAGACATAAAATGGAACATTGGCAAAAAAGATGATCGAAACAAATAAAATTAAGTGTATTATTATTAGTATTGGAATGAATGGTGTTTTTTTATCATTGCAGTCGGTGTATCGTGGAAAAGAAAAAAAATGACACCAAAATAACCAAAAAGTTATAGCAATTTTAGTCTCAGTCTCTGAAATTCAACATAATTTTTCCTGTTGCATAAAGTTTATTTATAGAATAATTTGTGACCTGTCCATATTTTGGTCATATTACTTCACTTGTAATATACCTGTCCAAAATCCAGTACCATTGGTCAAATAGAATAACCTTAAGACATAAAAAAAGTAAAATAAAAGTTGACTAGAATTAGAATATATGCCATTTATTTTCAAATAACGGTTTAATCGGGTCAATTTCATCGGCCATGACGCCCCAAACTGTGAACCTTCGATGCATTCCGAGCGTTCAAAAACTATTTTGTGAACATCAGATTTCCTCATGATAGTCGGGATTGTCTCATACCTATTGAATGTATAACTAGACATAAGATTGTAACAAATTACACGATATCACTATCATTCAATCTGACAGTGACTCATCTGAAAGTTATAACAATATTTATGAATATCGCTGGTGCATTCCATGTCCAGTTAGGCCTGGAAATGGTTGATGTCACCGTACTTGTAGTTACTTTAGTAACGTAAATTGTATCGGCTCTGCTCTCTACTACGTTACTGTCAGCTCCTAATGACAACTAGTATGAAAATAAGGCTTTTCCCCTATCTCGGTTCTAAGGCAATTTTGGAATCCTTACCATCTATTTTTCACCGCGATTCTTCTTTGGTCGCTAAAAGGAACCATTTCTTGCCACATCCAACACAAATTTATGAAAATCCAACTCTATTTTCATGTAGAATTGTACGATACAAAAACATAAACAAGTTTCATTTGAATTGGGCCGCCATTTTCAAACTAACGCTCAGCCAATAATCCAAACTGAGGAATGGAATTTTACAGTAAACGAAAATTCCAAAAAATATTGACCCCCAGTCAATTTTACTGGGCAACTTTTTACTGCTAAACGGTCATGTGTCAGTCTGTGTGAACGCTTGAACAATGTAAAGGAACATTTTAGTGAGAAAATAAGACCTTGTTTAACATGCTGTTAAAAAATATGTCCCCTTCTGCTAAACGGCTTGGCACAAGCCATTGATATCTAAATATAGGGTAACGCACAAATTTACGTAACTATGACGAAATGAAATTTAGGTTAGCCAGTGAAACAAAATTGGAAAGTTACGTAAATCCCTTAGTTAGTACTAACAGAAACTGAAAAACCTACACCAAGGATTTCTGACATGGGAATAAGATAATTGGAAGTAAAACAGTTACTAAATATAGTTATCACTTGTTATGATAGAAACTTGAATAAAAAAGATCAAAACCCAGGCCATAGGCAGAGATTCTTTTGTTTCTGGAACTTCTGAATTGGCTTAGGTTTCTTCGAGTCAGTATGAATTTACTGACAAATTCAATACAATAACAACATGCATTCAGCATTGGGCCTGATATACTTCTAGACTGACAGTTTTTGATAATAATGAGGTATTGTCTGGTAATAATTGTTTTTTTTATTGGACAAATGGTCCTGTTGATATTTTGCTATGTATAAAACTTAGATCTTAATCTTATGTCAAATATTTTTTTATCTTTCAGGTTCTGCGAAGGCTCTTATGAGCATAAAGGAAGGTAATACAAATTTCACTATCAATTTTCAGGTCACTGATAATTCCTTTGAAGACTAAAATTTATTATATTACGCTGTGGTGAAAAGATGTCTGTTTGAGAAAATAACTTACTATGTATCTGATTATTTTAAGGTAGTAGCAGTAGCACTGGTTTTGTATCACCTAACAGAAGAGGAAATGTAAGTAAAAATCTGTTATTACTGATTGTACAGTACAATGAAAATATATTGAATCGAACCAAACTTGCCAACTGTAGAGTTTTTTCGCCTGGACTTCAAGCATGCCAATGTTGCTACGATTTATAGCCTGCTTAAATAGTCACATTATAAATGAAAGGACCATATTTACTTTGTTTAGATTTTATATGTTAAGTTTGCCTTGGGTGGCAATAATAAATTGAAGAACTAAAATAAATGGCAACATGATTATGTGCACAATGTACGCTATATCTTTCAGGATTTTTGGTGTAAACAAACATGATGTATTCCACTTTTTGTCCGGTCTGGTTCTGATTTTTTGCAGTCGGTTCCGATTTTTGATAACACTCTTGTTACGATATTGTTCTGCTTTAATTCAAGCTCCTTGCTTCAAAAGTGTAATATAAAAAAAAAAATCATTAATTTTTTCATGACAAATTTGTAACTCGTTCACTCCAAAATATCTATCAATTACTTTAAATCTGCTAACCGGATGTCTGCGATGTAAACATTAACAGTATCATAGATTCACATGAGATTGAACGAGATTGCCTGTCACTGTGTACGTAACATACAGTTTCTCTATGGTACCATATCTATGGGGGTACATAATCGTTTCCAGTTCTTTCGCACCATGGCTAAGGTTATGGACTGACACGTCAACAGCAAAGGACTTTAAAATGTATGGAAGTGGGAACGGAAGGTGGAAGGCAAGCTTGTGGGATGTTCTATTTGTAAAGTTAATGTACGAATAGTAGTGAATTATTAATATTAATTATGGAGGGAGGGGGATGCAGAAGTTTAGAGCAACACATCTCTAGTCTAGAAAATTACACGGGAACAATCAAAAGGTCGGATCAGTAGTTCAAACATTTTTTATACAACCACATGGCCGTATATTGTTGTCGCCCCCGTCCGTCAGTCCGTCACCCAGGCGTCAGGGAATATGATAAATGGTATTGCATCACAATTTGTTAAACAAAAACAACCTAAGTGCGAATCAAATATTAATTTGATTTGCAGAAATTTATCAAATTTAAGTTTCTTGTCCCAAATGTTTAATAAACGTGATTTACCGTTCCACTGCGTACAGACATTTTAATCCCCTTGATGTCGGTCGAAGAGATTAAAAGTACATAGTCAAAGATTAGTCAATAAATTAATTGTAAGTTAACCTTTTAACAGTCATTCATTTCACGATCTAAGTAATTAGTACGAACGTTAATTTTGATAATCCTGTAAATATATACAAGCTCGATAATTATTCACAAAACAATAGATTTTGTCTGTAACCATTTCCCGTAGTAAGAATTGACCACATGTTCCCATCTGGCATCCCATTTGCCATCACACAATATTTCAATAATTTTCCATTCACTGAACAACCAAATATTCTGTATGCTATCCATCCAAAACGTGCACTGTTATTAGCTAATACACACCAGTTTTATTTTTCTCCGTTTAACAAACTACTTTGCATCTAAAATGGCACTTGGTTCATTTTGGCAGGAAAAAAGTCATGTGGGCAAAAAACAACAATTCATGCATTGCATACGGGGGTCGATGCTACAATATAATTTTAAAATATAGACAAACAATGTTTCGACATCACAAACTTTTCTTATCACAGATATTTTGCTATCATCTTCTGCCGTGCAAATAAAGACACATAATTTTGGAGGAATATTACTGGCGTAAATTTGAAGCAAGTAGCCTACGTATATTTGAATACTGTCCGGGAATTGAATATGAAAAATAGCAAGGTGCACCTATTTTTTTTTGTATTCAGAACACGATATGCTACATAACATAAAACTATTCATTGTTGAAGTCTATTAAAGGGAATGAAAGCCCCCCACCCCCACCCCAATACACACATAAACATTAGCTGTATACTGGTAGAAATTATGGCCATCGGAAAATTTACTTTTTTGATATTCAATCAAGTGGAACTTCTAATCAATTTTCAGATTGATTAGCACTTTTTTTTTAAACATCCAATAATTGCTAATCAATTTTTTTTTCTTATATACCCTGCTACAAATTCTTATTGACAAAATAAAAGTATATAACTGGCTCACATTTTAGCCCACATTTGTTTGACTTTACAAATTATTTATTTTTCAGCCTCCAAGAATACGACGTAAGAATCAGCGGTATCACAATGATGATGAAGAAACAACCTATTCTCCAGCTAGATCACCCAAAAAACAGGCTAAAGTTGCATCATCAGGGGTGAGCTAATATAAAGTTTGTCCGAGGTAGTTGGGTTTAATTTCAACAAAATCTTTACAATAAGTTGAATTTATGTACATTCTTCATTTTCAAAATGAATATTAATTTTTTGACTGATTCATTTATAAAGACAACAGAAACATTTATTAAGAAGTGTGGAAGATACATTGTGGGAGATTAGATAAAGAGCTGGCAGTTCACAATATAATAGTTAAAACCTAGATAATGTAAAGGGAATTTGCTGAAAATTTTCGGCCTAGCCTCGATCGTCATTACCAAAGACCGGACAATAAAAAACATAGTCTCGATTATCCATTTCATGATTAAAGCAAGAATGATAGTAGAGCAGCAAATGATATTCTAATCCAGTAAACATCGCAGGCTAGCGTTGACATCGAGAGTTGATTATGGTCTGGATAAGTTAATTAATGTCTAATTAATAATTTAGATAACATTTCAGGCCTAAAGAAAGATCTGCAATGAGCAGATTTAGCTCTTGCATAATGTATGTTTAATATGCACATACTTAAGTGTGTACATATCTCTGTATCTATTCTTTTCTACTCTCTTTGCCTGCATCAGCTTTTCATCCAGTTGCAATACAGATCTACCTGCCTGTCCAGAATCTGCTATTCTTTTAAAGTAATTTTGCTGTTCCCCCACCCCCACTTTTATCTATGTTTCAAAAGGTATGATATATATAAGAACAGAAACGTAAATTATAATAAGGTATGGAATAAAGTCATACAAACTACTTGCTTTCACTAGATGCCCTTTTTTATATCTCATATTTTTAGACTCGCAGTGCAGTATTATCAGCTACAGATAAACGTTTAGCCCAGTCTATAGGTGTTCGATTAAGAAATCTACTCAAGCTACCTAAAGCACATAAATGGGTGTGCTATGAGTGGTTTTATTCTAATATTGACGCGTAAGTATCAGTTTATATATAAAATATGTATGGGTTTTTTTTTACTGCCACTACTATACATGTTAAGGGTTGTCCAGACTGGCTTTTTTTTTTGCGAGGTGTCTTTAAAGTGCACTTTAAATTTTCTAGATTTTCCATGAACACAAGGGATTTGGGTGGTTGAGTGGTCTGTTGCATGCACTTTAGATCATAATGTCATGTGACATGGTTTTGATTCCATTCTTATAGATGACGAGTAATAGGCTTGCCTAATCATATGGGATTTCTATGGCTGTCTGACATGCAATTAAATTACTGAACTAAAGATGTACCTATTAGTCCCAAAGTAACATAGTTTATGTTGAGTGAACATTAAACCTTATTTCTCTCTCTCCCCCTCTCAAAAAGACAAAGATTTTATGAAATTCATGGTTTCTCTTTTGTGACTGTACTTTCATTGATGCTAAAAGTTGTCTTTCTTTTTCTAGGCCACTTTTCCTTGGAGAAAATGATTTTTGTATCTGTTTACGAGAATCATTTCCAGAATTAAAAACAAAGAAACTAAATCGTATTCAATGGAACAAAATTAGACGTTTAATGGGCAAACCAAGAAGGTAAGGTTATTTAATGATATGAAATGTTTTAGTATTGCTCTTAAAGGCAACAAAATTGAGTTACTTTGCCCAAGGACGGCACATACCATACGTTATTGATTTGTAATGAATTTTCAAATATTGGTTTAAGCTTAGCTAGGAAATATTTACAAATTTGTGGTTAATAGTAATATTTATTATAAAAAAAAAATGCAGGTGATTATAAAAGATGCAATATATATAGTCTTTCAGACGATATGAAAGTTATAGCCATCTAAAGATCATATTACTTTGTGTTGATTTACTCCGTCATTATTATTATCACATGCTGAACAAGTTCAGTTAAATATGTATATTAACAGACTTAAAAATTCAAACACCTTAAGAACCCACACTTCCAATATTCTGGAATATTCTGGAATAATGTCCAGAGTTTATCTCTCTATAACATCACTTAATGTAAACATACATTATTTTGGTAACTAATCATTTTAAGATTTAATAGTTTCAAATGTTGTATTTAGAAACGTGAAGGTTTGTAAGATTGTACATATTATTATATTTCACCTCTCAAGCAAAGATTGAGCATGGTTGTTTTTATATGCCTACATTTTCATGTGGACGTATATTGTCGTTGCCCCTGTCCGTCCACAATTTGTTTGTGGACACTCTACAGGTCACAATTCTTATCTGATTTTGACCAAACTTGAAATATAGGTTTATCTCCAAAAGATCTTGGTTCCTTTCGATATTGGCATGTATCGGATTAAATAACATGGATTATGGACCCTGAGGTCATAATTTTTGTCCCAATTTTGATGAAACTTAAAATATATGTTTATTCCTGCATTTCAGACTTCCTGGATTATGGTCTCTGATTGTACAAAAAATCGATTTTTGTTTTTTAGCTTGTTCTCTCTCCATCTCTTGCAAAATGTAGGCGTATCTTGGATGTCAACTGCTTGTTTTTTTTATAAATCAATAAAAGAACAGTATTGTTCCTTTAAGAAATTGTCATCTCATTTTAATATGTAATATTTTTTTCACTTGATATTTGATTCAATCAAAATTAATTTACTTTTTGAAACATATAGATGCTCTCCAGCATTTTTTCTAGAAGAGCGATCAGTATTAGATGAAAGACGAGATAAGATGAGATTATTACAACAGAGAAAATTATCGGAATGTAATAGTTTAAAAGATCTTCCTGATGAAATACCTCTACATTTAGTCATTGGCACAAAAGTAACAGGTATTATCCTTCCAACCATTTTGTTGTTTAGTTCTTCCCACATTTTAACACAGTTACAAAAAGTCACAGGATTGAATTCTGGTGTACCTGCTTGATGGTTATAATGCTGAGGTTAACAAGGGAAGTGGGTCTAGTCATTAGGCTGGGCAAAAAAATTGGGGTGGGACATGTGCTGTTCAGATCTTGGCCTGAAAATAAATTTACAAGAAGGGAGACGAAAGGAACAAGATATATTTCAACATTGTATTATAATAGTGTATGTTATTATCGGCTGTGTTTAACTATATCTCAGTGTTATTGTAGAATTTCTTTTTCAATTAGTTTGTTTAATTTCTCTTTCAGCTCGTCTAAGACATCCCCAAGATGGTTTATTTACTGGAACGATAGAAGCTTTGGACACAGTTGACAATACTTATAGAGTTATATTTGATAGACCAGGACTAGGAACACATTCTATACCAGATTATGAAGTTTTGGTGAGTTATTTGTGTTCAAACATATTGATAGGATATCTACATCATGTCATCAAAATGCACTCCCATCAAAGCTTAAATAAATACATTCACACAAGTTTTTTCCCAATGCCCATGACCGTGCATCTTTAGTGAGCTTCAGTACTGTTATCTCTCTGTAATCTTGTCTACTACATACCGATGTCCTGGCATGATTAACCAGTCAGGCGCCAAACATAAAAAGTTAGTAATAGGAAAAGGTGGATGGAAGGTAATACTCCTATATTACTTTATGACAAATTTGAACAGGAACTTTGGTTTTAAGAGAGGCATATCAAGACAACATAAATCTAATTGTCCTCGACCCCTCAATTTCTTTTAAAATCATCATTATAAATTCAAGATGTTTTTATTTATTTCAGAGTAATGATGCTCCTGAAACGATACCTCTGTCAGCTTTTCAACATAAACAACGACCTAGACACGGACATGGTTTATTCTCACCACCTAAATTTATACCTAACCTTGGCTCACCAAATCCACAACTTGTAAGTAATTTTAGGGCTATCTAATTAAAAAAGGGTGCTGCGATTGTGGATTGGGTTTGATTGAAAGGGATCTTTGAGATGCTTGAAGCACACACAGTTCTCACTTGTCAGGGGTGTCAATTAATTGTTGACATCCATTCCTTCCTTTCCTGATGAAATATTAAATTGAATATGATTTAATCAGACATAGAAACATAGTGAAAAAAAAAACCTTATAGATGAAAAGTGAATATAATAATAAAGCTTTAAAATCATCACTTTCAAAATTGCCAGGGTATCGATTTGGCTGAATTAAGAGTGCTGCATATGCCTTTATTTAATCTTGTTATATAAACATCTTTGAGATGAGAATTATGGATAATATTTGCTAGGTTTATTAAAGGACAATATTGGTGTCATTATTACTTATGTGATAGAACTGGTTAAAAATATATATAATTTTAACACAGAGATCATTTGCTATGATAGATGGGTAACCAACATTTGAAAAAAAAAAATGGAAGTGACGACAAAAATGACAAACACAAGTTATCCTTCTATATAACTGACTTAAGTAACAAGCGATACCAAATACAAGGGCGAATTTCTGCTCATTGATTATTCTGTTGAAGACGAAAAGGTGTTAAATGAGACTCTGAGAGGATATCTGACAATTCAAAAAAAGAATTGACTGTCATAGCAATGATCTCTGTGTTAAAATTATATTTGGAATTTGTTTAACCAGTTCTGTCACATATGTAATAATGACTGACACCAATATTGTACTTTAACTGCAATGTTTCAATGAGGGTACTCTCACCATTATCAATTATTAAAGGAGCTACATCGCTAATATTCAGGACCTAGAAATTGACACAAATAGGTCGAAACACCTATAATAATGTAATATGAATGTATATAAACTGATTTACATTTCAGTCATTTCTGTTTTACTATAATTTCTAATCATTTATGTTTGCCGAAATACGCCAGGAGTCTCAATCAAATGGCAATCTCTAGCGTCTGGTTATTCCAGTCTACATCAATAGTATTTATTGCACATGCTCTGCAGGCAGATAAGAATATGGCATCACCGTTTGATATAACTTGTGGAATATGTCTACAAATGGTGCCGAAACTCATTATGGTACACTATTCGTGTACCAATGTTAAAATGTTTATTTTGTCTTAAATATTGGATATCAGAAGCACATCTTTTCCCGGTAAGATCTCAACATCAATGTTGATTTAAATTGACAAATAATTCATGTTTTCAACGTCGAAGACCTTCGATAATATTGCATTAGAGACTTCGCTACTTTAACTGCAACGTTTCAATGAGGGTACTCTCATTATCAAACTTTAAAACGTTAATAAACCCAGTGAATTTTATCGATAAAGCTGTCTGTTATTTTATATTGCTTTCACTAAATGCCCTTTAAAGATAGAGAAGTGTTTTATTGAAAATTTTATATGTTTTCTTTGATTCTGGACATTGTACTTGGTGGTTTTCCAGGGCCAGGTTCCTAGAAAATTCTTAAAGTAAGCGCAAAGTCATGCTTCACTTTTTCTTACGTAAGAAACTTATAAAAATACCGTCCCTAGAAAATTCTCAAGACCATTCTTCCGAAAGCACAAGTCAAATATAAGTCTAAGCACATTGTGACTGGTAAAGTTTACCATAAACTGAGACTACAATGCTCTTTAACGTCATAAAAACAACTTTGGTATGCGAATTACGTCTTAAATTTGTCGTCTGCTTCATTGACGTCATATATATATATGGTTCATTTCGATGCATTTGACATGTCCCCTATTCACATATAAAATGTGCCACAAGATAAAAAAACCGCAGAAACATACAAACTAACTGAATAATTGTGAGAGCGCCTGTGTGTTTGTAGCCTATATTTTACTAATTGGCAAATAAATAAAATGGTTTCAGGGTAGGCCTAGAAGCGAAATTTTCTATAGCATTCTTAATTTGAAATTTCTTCTGGAGAAGGATTTTCTCTGTCTTGTAATTGTCTCTTTGGTATCAAAAGGTGTCGGAAATGCCGTCGAATAACTCTACGGTCAGCCATCTTTTTGAAGCAGAAACAGACGTAAGGTTTGCTTGGGACTTGTGCTTAGATTGACTATGTTTAAAACGAAGTTGTACTTAAGTTTTTTCTAGGAACGCATAATAACGTTCTTGTGCTTACAATGAAGTCTACTTAAAATCTAAGCACAAGAACGTTCTTAAGAATTTTCTGGGAACACAAAATAAGGTAAGTTTACTTAAATGCAAAGTCTACTTAAATCTAAGCACAAGAACGTGCTTAAGAATTTTCTAGGAATCGGGCCCAGATGTAAGATATCAAGTCTAATTTTACATTCTAAACAATCTTGAAAGTTTTTACTGAAATTACCGAAATTTGTTATTATTTCACTTGTCATTCAAATTTTTTTTATTCCTACAGGATAATGATCCCTTATTGAGTGGTTCTCCATTTAAAGGAAGGTTATTGAGTTTAGAAGGAGGAACATATGGTGGTTTTCCTATTAAATTTTTAGTTCTTGTTGTAAGTATGTTTTAACAATATGATCAGGTTAAATATAGTCCCATTATAACACAAGAGGATACCTTAAGGGGCAAAATTAGGTAATCTTATACAATCAGATGTAGAATGACGAAATGTACATCAGTTTAACGATAGTGACATTTTTGCCTTATAATGGGGGATCACGTGGCTAAGTGGGTAAGACGCTGGCTCGCTAGTCTGGATCGATCCCTGCATTGGCCGAGAAAGTTCATCCAGATTTTCCCGCGTGGTTTCCCCTTGTCAGTGATGCAGGATGAAGGGCCTGACAAGGACAGCTGTCAGTCGTTTGGATGGGATGAAAAACCGATGTCCCGTGTACATATTGGCGTGCACGTAAAAGATCCCTTGGCAGTTGGAATTCGATATAAGAGTAGGCCGTAGCACTGCTGCCTGGGCAAATTTCCCTCATAGCACACTGTATGGCGTATGCCCGTCTTCATTAGCCCAGTTTAGGAGCAGAACAGTAGGACATTAAACCCCATTTCATTTCATTTCATTGCCTTATAATGAAAGCCATCTAATAGCAAACTATTCAGCTATATGAGCTTTTACATCAAGAGTAAATAGAATTTCAAAATTGTTGGATCTTAATTTGTCTCATGATGTAGCCTTTACTGCTAGTGGGCATAATAGAGGGCCTGACAAACCCCAGTTTGTTTATTTATACTTGACAATAGTCAGATTATTATAGTTTTTAACTAAAAATAAACTGTTGTTATCCATAATAAAGTTTGTTTTAAAATTATTTTTAGACAAGATTATCGAAGATATTAACAATAAAGAAAGATTGGATACAACAATTAAAAGAAATGAATACACAAGCAGAGAAATTGGTAAGTTTATTTTATAATATAACATTTCAAATAATTACTGTCAGAGTTATGACCCATAATCAATTTGAAAATGTTTGTGGAAGCTCAAGCGGCTAGTGTTAATTTCTGAATGAAGTGATATTTCTATACTGTTTTGATGTTCATTAGACGAAGAAGCCAATTGGTTTTCAAACAGCTAGTGTTACCATCTGATCACTGTTTTTATACGCCCACATTTTCATGTGAACGTATTAAACCGTCGCCACTGTCCGTCCGTCTGTCAGGGGCCATTTTGTCGGTCAGTTTCGGTCTGATTTTTACAAAATGCACAAATATCGAAAGGAACCAAGATCTTTCTATTATAATCATACATTTCAAGTTTCATCAAAATCGGATAAAAATTATGACTTTTAGAGTGTCCACAACCTTGGTATTACATACTTTTAAATATTTGCTTACAAGAAGCAGCCATTTTGTCTGGCAGTTTGGGTCAGATTTTTACGAAATTCAAAATCAACCTCCATTGATGTGTAACGATGATATATTTAAACGTTTTTTAAAATTGAATACAAATTGTGACTTTTAGCAGGTTCCCAAGCTAAAAATGCAGATTTTCGAACAATCTGGGGCCATAATCCAGGAAGTTACGTTCGGATATGCGCGATTTATTGAAAGGAACCAAGATCTTTGTGATATAAACACAAATTTACAGTTTCATTGGAATCGGATCAAAATTGTCCACAACCTTGATCCGATATGTGTTAATATTGAAAGGAACCAAGATCTTTGGGTTATAAACATGCATTTCAAGTTTCATCTAGAGGGTCCACAACCTTGATATACCATATTTTTACACTATTTACTTACGAGGGGTGTCCATTTTGTCCCGACAGTTTTGGTCCTATTTTCACGAAATTCGGACTCAACCTATATTACGGTGTAACAGTGATATATTCCAATTATGACCTATGTCGTGTTTGTTTTCCCATCACCAATAAAAGAATAATAATGTGACAACAATGATGGACTGGTTGGACAATTAACTGCCAAGCTTCGTAACCTGACAACCTGTCTTTTGTCATAATTATTGTAATGATATTCACTTTGGTTTTTAATCTGAAAATAGTAAATATGACTCTTGTCAGTCAATTTGGTTTTATTTTACAGAAATCATATCAGCAGCCCATTACAGTTGACTTTCAGCGGAAATATGCAAATATAGTTTTAGAATTAGATAAATTGAATAAAGATTTAAATGAATATTTAATGGGTGTGCAAGACTTCTGTCAAGAGGTAAGTAAATTTTAAAATTGAACCTGCTTTATAACAGGTTGCTAACTAATCATCTGCTGAACTCCTCTAAAGCCTAATTTGACTTATATATCAGATTTCTTTGACTAAAGTTAGATTTATTAGGTAAGACATTAATCATTATAATTGACAGGATAGACTTAAGTTAGACATTAATCATTATAATTGACAGATTGGACTTATGTTAGACATTAATCATTATAATTGACAGGATGGACTTGAGTTACTACAGTAATCAATATAATTGACTGGATGGACTCAAGAAAAACTTTTAAATAAAAAGTATGCTAAAATGTTCTGGTTTAAATGTAAGCTCATTTCAATATGTCCATATTTTGTGTTTACTGGGTGTATTCTTTTGCATAATAGAAACTTGTATTCAACATTAACCACTTTATTTACTCTAGGCCGAAGTTTGAGCAGACGTTGATATCACAACATAGACACCGTTGATAAATTTGATGTCATCACTAGGTTTTAAGAGTGTCATAAGTAATCCATTATTTGTTCCATGAAAATATATTGTCTTGACATCCATGTTAACAGGAAAGAGAATTAACGATTTTTTCCAATTATACACAAAGAATTTATTCTGAATTACAGAATTGATTTAAACTAAAACAATAAAAACAGAATACAAAATTAGTAGACTTTAATTTCAAATCTTTAAAATTTACCATCAATTTCAGCTTGGTCCACCTCATGGTTTAGTGCCAATAGATCAACCATCAGAAATCAAGAGAAAATGCGATGAGGAGGCTCAAGATTTGGTCACGAAAATATGCAGGGTAAGCAATTATTAAAATTATTTCAGCAACATATAAAATATTTTCCTGAAGCAAGATTTCCGTCTGTTCACAAAGACCTAGCTTGAAATTTATAGGAGAGGTTAGCATGTTTGGTGAAATCTCTGTGATTGAGAACTGGCAGGATAAGACAATGAAAAATGAATGTAGCACCAAAATATGTCTTTGAGATAAATGAAAACCCTAAGATTGGGGTAATGAACCCATACCTGTAGTTACATATCAGTTCGCCAATTGTGAATAATTTAACTATGTAGTTTCAGCTTAAGAACTTGGAAGGCATTGAAATAAACAAAATTCTGTTTCTTGCTACATATTTTCCTGCCAAGTTCATATATTTCAGTATTAATTTTGTGATGATTGATGGTTTTAGGGTATGTTCTCAAACAAGAAGACCTCTAAGAATGAAAGGGTATTAGGACTGGTTTCTAATCTTACATCCCTTATGCTCCAGATTAGGGTAAGTTACCCTAATTTACTATGTCTTGACAAATGTTGGAAATCCGTGATTATTTCTTGAGATAAACACATACCTGGAGTTGCTGCCATTCATCTACAAACTATACCATAACCAATTAAATACAACAAAGCAAAGCAATGAGATACAACAGCCTCCATTTTAAAATTTAATAAAGTGAAAATCATGAAAAATTTGTGATTGTGAGCAGTATGGAAGTCAGATACTAACAAATGAAAAATGTCTTAAAAGTGTCATTCCATGAGAAAACCATGCAATATCAGGCAGATGTTCGAAGGTGAGGGTTGACCGATTGAGTTCATATTCACAGGGTTTGGTCGAGCCTACTCCCCAGCCAAAATCATCGATTTCAGAAATCAACCGTTTCCAAGATACAGGCCGATTGCGTTTTTCGGCTGATTTTTGCCATTTTCAGGCCAAATTTTTGCTTTTTTGGTTGTCTATGATGGTCGGGCTCTTACCCTATCACATTATCATGGACACCCGTTTCAAGTTCCTTTTCTGTAGCTGTCTGTGATACCTGAAATGTACCCTATCTTCAAATTGCGATAACTCCACTGGAGCAGGGTTTGCGATAAAAATCAAAATCAATTTATTTGTAGCTTGACCAGTTCTAAAAGAAATGAAATCGTTGTCAGCTAACTTGCAACACTATGAAAATAATCAAGATCACGGGAAACTGCCACTGTAGATGGGAATTTATATCTGATATCTGCTGTTTTAAAAGATGTAGTTTCATTACTGAAAATAAGTTAAAGGTTTAATAGCTAATAATAGACAGAGGTTTTGAAATTTATAATGACTGTCCATTGATTTGGGGTGTTACATACTATTCGGGTGATATGTGAAATCAAGGACTAGTTTCTACATGCTGTCGGTTGATATCAATGAGATTAAAATGTCCAGCTATGGAGAAACCACAGAGGTAATCACGTAGGTTGATACTCACTCTTATTGTATTGAATTGGTAAATAGTCCGACAAAAGAGAAGCAATGACTTCTGTTCAAGATTAGGTGTATGGATGGCATAACACGATAAATACGCTGATCACTTAATTGTCTAATCAATCCAGCCTATTATTAACGATAATCGGGATGAGTGGCAGTTATACACTCAGTACACTATATTAAATTTCTAATTTTGAATATTTTTCACAAAATATCTTTATGTCCGATAGGGCATATTCCTGGCCGGACATTTGAAAAATAGCATAGGACATGTTCGGAATGTACGGGCTAAATCCCAAAACTTGGAGGAGTTAAGAAACCGAAAATTGACCTGTTGTTAGAACATGTCAAGCTGCATATAAAATGATTTTCATTTTTATCGCAAACCCTGCAATTTGAAGAAAATGTATAATTGAGGTATCTGCAGGCACTTAATTTGTGTAGTTTCATGACACCTGTGGAAAGAGAGGTTACACTTGGTGACCATTATAATATGGTAGGGTGAGAACCTGACTAGAATCACCAACCGAAACCTAGTTCGCGATTGGTCAATAACGGCTGTAGCAGTGCTACAAAAATGGTAGAAATTTGACCTGAAAATCGGCCGAAAAATAAAATCGGGCTGTATCTCAGAAACGGTTGGGGAGTAGGCTTAATGGGTCAACCAAACCCTGTAAAAATGAACTTAATCGGCCGACCCCCACCTTCGAACCTTCTGCATGGTTTTCTCGTGGAATGGCTCTTAATATAACTAGAAGACCTGTTGAGGAATACGGCTGTAATTAAGTCACACTTTCACTACGTCGTCATGTGAATTGTGAAGCAACTGGACCCACTTGAAAACTGCAAATAGGAGAGAGGTCATATTCTAGTTCTGTTCTTCATCCCTTTCGTTTTCTTTTAATGAAATATTATTTATAAGGAAACAAATTCATTTCAATGTTAAAATTAAGCTTTTCATTTATAGTCCATTGAAGTTGCCAGTGCTTGAAAGAATTTGGTCTTAGTACATATTCTAGACATTGCAGAACCTACAGATTAAATAAATCACATTATATACTAAAATTTCTCATAGTAATTACATTTATGTATTTCAGACATTTACGCAAAATGATTTTAATTCTTTTGAATTTAAATCATTACAAGATACACTTTCTGAAATAAAAGTTGAAATGGATTCTAATAATATCAAGTAAGTAATTAATAGCTTTTGAAAATATTTATTACAGCTATTCCTTTTCCAAAAACAAAAGTGTTGATAAGATTGAGTCATATAGCGTTTAAAGCAAGATGAAACTAATACTGAGATATTATTTTCAACAGTTTATGTCCATAACAGTACTTTTGCTCAGTCTGAAATGAAAATGTGGACATGGAGCTTGTTTTATTATTGTAAGAATGCATCAAATCAATCACTTTATTTTGAGGTGAAAAAGTGTGGTTTAATGGTCGTGAGCGAGACATTGCATAATATATTGAAACAACATGCTTGAGACCATTGAACAACTTAAAATACACTCGCATACACTCGCACACACTCGCACATGCTTTGGAATGAAATACGTCACGTGAGTCCAAAATTTTAACTAGTATAAATAATGTACACTTGGCACATTGCCTGTACCGTTATTGAAATCAAAGGATGACGTCACATTTGTATTTTAAAGAGGTATAATGGACCTTTAATTAGAAATTACCATTATATCACTTTTGAATGTTGTGGACTTGGTGGCTTGGAAAGGCTTTTGGTTATTTTCAAATTAAAATAGTTTTCAATTTGCCCTGTGTGACATGATATTCACATCCTGAAATAAGTGACAGGTTTTAAAACAAAATCAAAATCTTTTCTGTCATAGCAAAATATAAGTTGTAAAAAAATATTTATGTCATGCTAAGTTCCCACTTTCGTTTGATACGTTACGGTTGGATTGTCCCTATTGAGTCCACGATCTGCTATGTGCAGATACATTCGAATACATTTCGATACAGGGGGGTTGGATGGCCGAATGGTTAGCACGCGCGCGCTGTATAATACGGTCTGTCATTGAGTCAACTGGCGGGGTTTCGATTCCCCGGTTGTACGTGGCAAGCAGTAGGGTCGCCTGTCCAACCTCGTGGGTTTTCTCCGGGTCCTCCGTTTTCCTCCCACTGCTAAAGACACATACGCACAAGCGAATTATTGAAATAAAATTGAACCATGTGTTAGTCCCGAAATGACCTAGTTTGTGTGGATGTTAAACGCCATTTCTCTCACTCTCTCTCTCTCACATTTCGATAGGATAAACATGATTGCTACAAATAACCTCAATATATGATAAGACCTGATATGATCACCATGATTACTAAATGATTAATACAACGATTTCAATCGCAGCACCAGTCGTGATAGTGGCAACCCAGCATTAGAGAAAAGAAATTTTATATGTATATTTTTTTTTTTTTGAAATATGTATATGATGTTTAAGAAAATTTATATGTATATTATTTCCTAATCTGAAATAATTTCAAGTTATGCTTTTTTTATTTTTTAGTTCATTCCAAAATAATGTTGAAATTCACATTAACCATATACAGAGTGGATTAACACAAATGGGAAATCTTCATGCCTTTACATCTTCTTTGACAGAATGAATTACTAGTGATATGGATTAATGCAGGGTTTCTTGTAGTATTAAATTTTATGTGTGCTGCTAAAGACTGAAATAAATGGTAGGCTTGGTCGGTACATATACTCTATAACAGGCTGTGCTATTACCGCAGTATTTCCAACAATGTGACGTGAATCAAACACAACATTACATTATACTACTATTTAACAACTTACTGAATAATGATTGCTTAGTCATTGAACATATATATGTACATTATTATTTTCAAACTGTGTAAATATTATACCTGTATCTCTATTTACTGTTAATAAAATATAAATTAAAGAGATTCTCTGTTCTTGAGATCATTGCTTGTTTAGTGTCGTATCAAATGATTTTACCCTGGTACAATTTACAGATTGTATTTTTTCATGTGACATAGAACACTGATAAGTTCTAAAGTTGATTGGCCAATTCTATGGGTATTGAAGCGGTGCAGTCAAGTGGCAAGGAGTAGGGTCGCCTGTCAAACCTCGTGGGGGTTTTCTGGGTCCTCCAGTTTCCTCCCATTGCTAAAGACCCCTATGCCAGTGAATTATTGATATAGAATTGAAACATTATGTTAGTCTTGAAATGACCTCCGGTTACTATTGACACCTATGTGCAAGCAAATTATTGAGATAAAATTGTTAGTCCTGAAACTACCAAGTTTGTGTTGAGTGGATGTTAAACCCCATTTCTCCCTCTCTCTTACTGCACAATTAGTATTACCTCATACCTCAATTAAACCTGACTTCTGCTGCTGATCTAATTTCATAAATGAACCAGTTTTTGGTGAAGCTGAATGATTACATCTACAAACAACGGCACAACTGAATGAAAAAAAAATCAATTTGATTAGGATGGTGGAGTGCATGAGATTGATACATTTATTGTTTCAATAGCTAAAAGAATTTGAATGTAATGTTTTTTGATGGCTATATATTTTATTTTTTAGCATTACAAGAAAATATTTGGCTCTTTATTACTTTAATTTGACTTGACTAATAACTGTGGCTACATTGCTTGAAATAGAGCAGTGACTAGAGACGCAAAGCAAGCTGTAGTTGCCAATGAAATTTTGGAAATGGGCAAAATCTATACTTGAGCTGTTGAACATTGAATGGAGAAAATAATGGTGGTATTCATCCACGTCTTAGAGGCAGACCATTAAATTTCCGTATTTGTAGTTGTCTATAAATGTAGCACTGCTCTCTCTTTCCCTTTTCTTCCCTTTTGCATGGCCATTTTTGTTTACATTTTGGTCTAGAATTGAAGAAGAGGGTTTGAATTGCCAAATTCTGTCAGTTTTTGGTAAAAATTAATGTTTTAGAGGCGGATTTATAACAATGTTATGAGGTTTGTGATAAGCTTTAGAGTTTCCTTGTCTGTAGTGAAAACCGAAAATTGGGGGAAAAGTTGAAGTCGGGCAAAGGTACCAGAGTTAAAACATTGAAGTCAATGCTGGAATTCACAGTGGTCTGTATCGGGTTGATAGTTATGGAGTTGTCTCCCATATACCATAAGTTTTCCATCAACAGTCTTGGTCTTCCAGAGATAACTGTATGTGAGTATAAATTAAGACTGGACAACCGAACTATTTTTTTCCCAAACATCCGGTGTAAACAATGCATGGCCTGCAGGTTAGCAAAAATTCCTTTTACTATTATTCCTGTAGAGATATATTATTGATCTCTTGTTGTTGAATCTCAAAATTAACAACCAGACTGATTTGTGGAGCATAATTATTAATGAGGTAATATTTATGAATAGAAAAGTAAAAGCACATATTTAAGGTGTTGGGTAGAATTTTAGAAAATTGCTTATAATATAGACCTACTTCTTATATTGGCATAATCATATGCTAATTTTCTAAATCATTTGCCTACATTTTACAGTACCGTAATTAGAATTGTTATGCTCTCCGTTGGTTGTTGGGGGGTGGGTCTTTAGTTCCTTCAGGAACTGTCCCTAATCGGACGATGTCCGCTGACAGTTCCTATCAGTTCCCTTCCTATACTAACTGCAGTATGAAAATATGGTAAAATACCACTAGGTGGTCTAGTGGTTTAATTAACAAGTAAGGGTAAAATCATGTCTGTCATTAAGTGTCAAATTAAGTGGCGTGGTTTCTACTCCCCATTTGTATGTAACATGGAATAACGTCACCTGACCAACCTCATGGGTTTTCTCCTGGTCCTCTGGTTTCTTCACACTGCTATAGACCCCTACGTGCAAGCAAATTATTGAAATAAAATTTTAAAATATGTTAGTTGCGAAATGAACTAGTTTGTGTCGAGTGGACGCTAAACCCCATCTCTCTCTCTCTCCCCCGGGTTGGTAGTGGTGTGAAATGTCCAACCAACAATCATGCCAAAATTCACATTTTTACCTAAATAACTCACAATATTGATTAATTGAATATTGTAGCAATAAAGATGAGTTCGGAAGAAGATTTAAGCCCAGAGCAACAAAATCTATCTAATAGTCATGATGAAAATATAGCTCAGAGTCTAGATGCTGTCTTACAGAAACCAGAACAATCATATGATAATTTTGTATCTAGTTTTACCTACCTTAACTTAGGTAAGCAGTGCTGATTTGTTATGCAAAAAAAGCTTATAGAAATTACATGTAGGCCCGGATCACCTCATCTTAAATACAAAGCACAATGTGATGTATATCAAAAGCTTATAGAAATTACATGTAGGCCCGGATCACCTCATCTTAAATACAAAGCACAATGTGATGTATATCAGAAATGAAATGAGGTTTAACATCCTATTTTTCTGCACCAACCAGGCTAATGATGACAGACATTCACCATGCAGTTTGCTGCATGTATATCAGAAATGAAATGAGGTTTAACATCCTATTTGTCTGCACCAACCAGGCTAATGATGACAGACATTCACCATACAGTTTGCTATGAGGAAAGTAATGTGTGGACAACGACCTACTCTTTAATTCAAATTGTTACTGTCATGGGAGTTTCTTTTACATGCCCACCCGCATGTATACAGGACCTTGGATTTTTATCCCATCCAAAAGAATAGATGATATTCCTTTGCCTGGCCCTCCGGGACAAGGAATGTTCTCACCCATCACCTGGAGTGAACCTCCTGATTAGACTCAGTGAGTCACCGCAGCTCCCAAAGGTGCAGGGTATGGCGATTGTGGTCATGGTGCGATTCAGGTTCTATGATGAGATTGCTATCTTGATTTATAACCAGTTCATTTAATTTAAGGGATCACGTTGGCTAAGTGGGTAAGACGCTGGCTCGCTAGCCTGGAGGTCAGGTGTTCGATCCCTGAATTGGCTGCAAAAGTTCATCCAGATTTTCCGCATGGTTCCCCCTTGTCAGTGATGCAGGACGGAGGGCCTGACAAGGACAGCTGTCTAGTCGTTTGGATGGGACGAAGAACCGAGGTCCCGTGTACACATTGGCGTGCACGTAAAATAAAGATCCCTTGACAGTTGGAACTCGATATAAGAGTATCCCGTAGTGCCGCTGTCCAGGCAAAATTTCCCTCATAGCTCGTCTTCATTAGCCCAGTTTGGAGCAGAACAGTAGGATGTTAAACCCCATTTTATTTCATTTCATTTATGAACGCTAAGTGGGTAAGACTTTGGCTCGCTAACCTGGAGGTCAGGTTTTCTATCCCTGAATTGGCTGCAAAAGTTCATCCAGATTTTACGGCATGGTTCCCCCTTGTCAGTGATGCAGGACGGAGGGCCTGACAAGGACAGCTGTCTAGTTGTTTGGATGGGACGAAGAACCGAGGTCCCGTGTACACATTGGCATGCACGTAAAATAAAGATCCCTTGACAATTGGAACTCGATATAAGAGTATCCCGTAGTGCCGCCGTCCAGGCAAAATTTCCCTCATAGCCCGTCTTCATTAGCCCAGTTTGGAGCAGAACATTAGGATGTTAAACCCCATTTTATTTCATTTCATTTATGAACGCTGTGATTACTGAAATTATCCAATCTGTATGAAAATTATATGCATTATCCAAATTAGTGAAAGAGTCTTAATAAATTTCAACAATTTGCGTTAAATACCTCTAGAGTTATGGTCCTTGTTTCAATTTGTAGAATCTTGTGAATGATTAAACCGCAAAAGTTATCATCTATCAAATGACTTAGCTGTTGTGTAGGTATGTTTCATTGGCAGGAAACCTATCTTAAAGTGCACATAACGTCACCATACGAAATTTTCTGTTCTTGTAGCCAGTGGTTACATGCATTTTACAGGGGTAAAGAGAGATACATATATGTATATCAGAAGAACATTTATTTATTCAATCGAATTGAACATAATTTAGATAACGGTATCTACCTTATAGCTAGAAACCCTATAGTCCCAAATGTTACTCTATTTTGCTTTGTCTATGTACCACCCAAATCTTCTGTGTATACTAAACCCAACAAACCAAATGGGATTGTGAACTTAGGGAATAATTTCTATTCCATAAAATCAAAAAATTTGTTCAGTGATATAATAATAGCTAGAGATCTTAATTCTAGAGTAGGTTCAGAACAAGACTTTATATTGGAAGATTATGTTGATTACTTATGCTGTAAAAATAAAGTCTAAAGACACAGTCGTAAACAAATATGGCATCTCACTTTTAAATATGTGTCACACTTTTATTATTCACATTCTCAATGGCAGAGCTGGTATGGATAAAGAGGGTAATTTCACATTTATATGTCATAATGGGGAAAGTGTAATTGATTTTGTGATAGTTTCAAATACAATCTATGACCTTATCACTGAATTTGAAATCCTGTCCTTTTGTGAATCTGATCATTTCCCAACCCTTTGTGAATAAATGTACAGTACCAACAAGATCGATTATGCCATAACAGAAAGAACAGGCTGTCGTTCAGAAGAAATTCAGATGGACAATTCCAAAAATCTAGATTCCTCAAACCTTTTCAAACAATGAAAAGAATTCAAGACTATTACAAATACAGTCAAGACTTGGCAATATGTCACATTTATTAGGCGGTAACCAATCTTAACGAAACCTTACAGGATGCAGCAGACTCAATGCAGACCAAACATAGGAATGTCACAAACTTTAAAACTTAAACCACATTGGTGGAATCATGAAAGTTATGTTCTAAAGTCAGAGAAATACAAGCTATTAGACATTTTTAGAATTACCAACTCAACTCAACAGGTGATCTAAAGTTTAAGTTACAAAAAAAGCTAAAACTAAGTTCAAGTTAGAAACTAGAAAGAATCGAGACGAAGTACACAACCCGTCACCTATAATCCCGACTAACACTAATGAATTATGGGCAAGCGTTAGGAATTACGTAAAGTCAAGTAACATCAAACCTAACATAACATATGCAGATTGGTTCTCTCACTTTGAACGATTACTGAATTCCAACAAATCTCTCAATGAGCTTACTAAAAAGACGATTACTGAACACACACCTGTCTTTGACGAGCTTCTGGACTCAGAAATTAGTGCCTCAGAGATGCGAAAAGCAACGACTGAACTCAAATCAGGAAAAACATTTGGACCAGATGGTATACTAAACAAGATGATCAAGTGTGCTTTAGAAATGTTCTACTGACCCTATTATTACTGTTTAATCAAATCTTACAATCTTTTCAATTTCCAATTAGCTGGAGAGAAGCAGTTATTCGGCCTTATGATCCTGAAAATTATCGTACCATATCTCTTCCATCTGTTATAGATTAGCAAACACAAGATTAACAAACTGATGCCTAATTAACAATAAATCATTTGAGGAGCAAGGTGGATATAGAAAAAAAAAAGGGTATAGCACGGTTGACCAAATCTTCACTCTACGAGGTCTTATACAAAAGTATGTCACGAAACCTCGAGGTCATCTTTATGCTATATATGTTGACCTTCCCGCGCTTATTGCTGAATACAACACCATATATTGCAATATGTACTACTTACAAAACTGCATTAATGGAAAATTGTTCTGTGTTATCAAATCAATATTCCATCAACTAAAATCATGTGTACGAATTGATAAACTAGAGTCACAGAGTTCCTTAAGTGTAATATTGGAATTAAACAAGGATGCTTAATGATTAGTCCTTTATTATTCACTTTATTTATAAATGAATTAGTTGAAGAATTACATGTGTTAGGATGTCATAATGTTTTTATAAACCAATCTACTGAAAATATAATATGTATATGCAGTAGCAGATACTGTGGCAAGACTTCAGTTTCAAACTGATTGCATACACAATTTTTGTATAGAATACGGAATGAAAATGAATCCTAATAAAACTAGAATAATTGTATTCAGACATGGTGGGGTTATAAAATCATACAAACGTTGGTATCTCGAAGGAAAACAAATAGAATGTGTTAATCATTATAAAAACCTTGGTATCTTCTTTACCCCAAAATTATGTTTGACTCTGGCAACTAACACTGACGTGCAACAGGCTAGAAAAGCAACGAATATGTTTTTATGTTACATTGTTAAATGTGACATTAGTGTAAAACAAGCCTTGTTTTTATTTGACAGCATGATACTACCGATTTTGAGTTATGGTTCAGCCATCTGGGGGTATCAAAAGATCGACTCCATTGAAAAACTTCATTGAAAATTCCTAAAATCAATCCTGGGTGTTAATCCAAGTGTCTGTAATGCAGCAGTATACCGTGAAACTGGACGATTCATGACAAATAGGAATATATGTAAAAACTTAGCTATGTTTACTTACAATGTCTACTTGTATCATAAAAATTTATAAATCAAATGAATTATGTATATGGTGATTCACACCAATCTGATTAAAATTAACTCTGCCCTCTTCACTCAAAGTCATAAATATAGACCTCCCGTAAAAACGACCTTGCCAATTATCGAAAACACTCTTAATCCCCTCAGATGCCAGTGATGTCACAGTGACCGAATGACTTTATTACTGTAAAATAGATCGTAAAAAAATGGAATAGGAAAAAATATCTCACTACATTGGAATTAACAGTAGGCCTACAAACTACAACTAATTTGGGCTATTTAATTTTGTTGGTAACCATCTAAATTGAATAACAGATTATATTTGTGTATTAATGTAAGTGTCTGTGCAAGTGTACATGTGTCGGTAATCTCTGATTAATCAAAACCGACTAAAGTTGCACAGACATAGGATTGTAAATTAATTAACACATCGATGTTAGGAATGCTGGTGGGAGTAAGAACATTGATTAGGCAATTATCTTTTGTATGTCGGTCAGATCAAAAAATAGGTTGACACAAACTTTGTAATATTCTCTTTTTGACTTTGCATAGTGATAAATACGAATTAAGATAAGACTTACCTCGACTAATTGTATATCAAATACAAACTTAGTGTTGTGGTCAGGTTTGTCTGTCCTACCGTCACCTTTCACTGTTATACCTTTCTCATTTAATTGACTGGGAATTCTTGACATTTTGGTTGCAGCATGGGGATGTTCATGATCGAGAATGTCTTTACTTTGGACGGAAGAAAATCGACGGCACATTATGTACCTTTTCTTTGCTGGAATTTCCACAACTCTCAACAACACAAAGATAATGTTTAAAATTCTCTCTAACATATTCCAGTGACAAGTTATCGTCTATTACAATTCAAGACGAGGAAGGTCTTAAGTTTGTAATTGCAGTGTCCGATACTAAAACATTAATCTAAATTATGTTCAATTCGATCGAATAAATGAACAATTGTTCTTCTGATACATGTATATAATATAATCTCCCTTTACCCCTGTAAAGTGCATATAGTGACCACTGGCTATCAGTATAGAAAATCTCGTTCGGTGACCTTATGGAAACAATATTTTGCATGTACAGCAACTTTTGGCCCCTACACCCAATTTCTTCTTTCTTTGTTTTGAGAAAGTCAGATTTGAATGAGTTAAGCACATTGGCATCATGACCCTTGTACAGTGCCAATAGGTGTACAGTTGTATGTACTGTTGACATCAAACGCCTCCATTCTCACTTTTGCATTAACACTCCAAAGACCAAAATTATCACTATATCATTTTCATAGGTTTTTGTTTGGTTTTCAGATGATATTAATCATAAAATAAAGATCTCAGAAAAAGTAAAAAATGAGAATACAGTTGTTGAAAACAGAACAGATTCTATAACAACCATGTCACTCAATACAGGAAGCTCACCAGAAATAGTTAAAACAGATAGTGATGAAATTGAAGAAGAGGTATTTATCTAATTCATACTTATCTAAAATGTATACTTTAAAATGACAATGTATGAAAATGTTTAACTTATTGTTTTAAGATAGGAAATCATATTTTATCATGAAAATTTGAATACATCTAGCAAAATAATACACCTCTAACAGCTTGATCGCTAAATTCAAGTTATTTCACGTTTCTGTATGACTATTGCTACTACCCTATGAGTATTACTCCCATGTTAATTAATACCAATCACTAGTGTTTTCTTTAATCCTCTAGACGCATCTTGCCATTGATCTTATTCATGTCCTGCATGGTTTCCGATTTATTGTTGTTTCTTGTCTATATAAGATATTCCTCGAAACGTCACCAAAATAAAATTAGTAATTGTTCTTCCATTAGTATTGTGTTATATACTAATGTCCAAAAGAAAGTATACACTGTGCATTTCGTCCTGCTTCAAACAAAGTCGTATTTCCATTGTATGTGGTATTTTGGTACAATGTCCATTTGTTTTGCCATTTATTTGCTTAGAAATATTGAGTTTAGACGCACAAGAGATGTTCAGTGTAGTTTTATCACATTTTGTTGATTTAAACAAAACTTAGTCATATCTTTAGTGTGTATACTTTCTTTAGGACATTAGTATAGTTTATTGCTCTATTCAGTTACTAAATATCTCTAAAGGTTTGTTTCCATAATTTGTTTAATAGACTACAAGAGATTATTCTATTTGATAGGTTTTAGATAATGTTGCTGTGAGTCTACAGTCTAGCACTCAATCAACAGGTTTATCACGAAAAAAACTGACACAGGTGAGTTTAAAGTGAACAACAGCTAGTCCATAAATTCTTTAAGACTTGCTGACATTGTGTGTGTGGTTAGTCATTAGCAGAAAACCTATTCAAATACAGAACCACAGATTTTGGTTAAAAATAATAGGGCCAGTTCTATAACCGTAAACAAAGGGGTTTTTTTATAATGGCTTTACTGGTGACTTTTTAAAATTTGGCATTACCTGCTAAAACGTAGGTGGATGCAACCTTTTTAAAATTAGGCAAAATTAGATGTGATTTCATGCTGTGGATAAATATAAGGTGCTAATTCTGACAGCTTAAGATTCTTTCTTATTGAGATTCAATAAGATTAAGTTCCTTCAGATGTCATGCCTAATATAATTATACATAGATATGTTTTGTCAAAAGTTTTTTTATAAAGATATTATAATCTATTTTGTAGTTTGATAATTTTGTTAGTAAAGAAGACAGTGATAATGAAGACTATGATTTAGATAGTAGTGGTTATCAAGCCAGTTTTATAAAAGCAGGTAATATGATCATTTAATGGTAATACCATTTTAAAAATGTGGTATAGAAATATGAACTGTTGATTTCCATTTGTGCTGCACAGATAAAATCAAGAATTAGTTTAAAGTCATCATTTCAAACATTTATACAAAATGAAAACAAATTGAAATGAAATAGGATTTAACATCATACTTTTCTGCATTGACTGGGCAAGGGCTAATGAAAATGGACATGCAGTGTGTGCTATGAGAGAAATTTGACCCGGACAGCGGCCTATTCTTATTTCAAATTCCAACTCTCAAAGGGTCTTTAATTCTACATGGCAATGTGTACTCGGGACCTCAGGTTTTTTTTTCCCTCCCATCCGCACAACAAGACACTATTGAGGAATATTGAGGAACTTTGGCTAACAAGGGGCTGTTCATACCAATTTATTATTTGTTTTTAGTGTCTACTTTAATTTCTACTTTTCAGACTCCAGCACCAGAAATAATTCCTCGGAGGCAAAAAGTTATCTGGCAAATAATGCCCAAAATACTAAGTGTGTAATAACAGTTGGATTTAAAGATGATATAATGAACAGTGTATCTGAATATATAGGTAATGAACAGGAATGTGTGTATAAACCTGATCAAAATGGCTTTATGTTAAATCCTGGAGAAGTAGAAAGGGAGTTAACTGTACCTGATCTACAGGGTGTACCTCATCAAAGATGTCTAGATTACTCTTGTGTTGTTGGGGATGGAACAAACAAGAATAATTCTGATGTTGCTGTCACGGTAAGTTAAACACCCTTCATTTTTTTGTTCTATTTAAATGTTTAATTAGTGATCACTTGAATTGTCTTGTGTCCAGCATTTCTGGATAAATTAGTAATACAGTGTTTTTGTTATAGTGGGTGTGATTACCATCTAAGTCATCATAGGATAAATTGTAAATTCTATTTATAGTGGGTGTGATTACCATCTAAGTCATCATAGGATAAATTCTAAATTCTCTTTAGTCGGGTGTTGTTAGCGGCTGAGGTACCACAGAATGGTCTAAGACATGCACTTTAGATCATAAGGTCTGTCATCGAGCCAAGTGGCATAGTTTCGATTCCCTGCTTGATTGTGACAAGGAGTTGGGTCGCCTGTCCAACCTCATGGGTTTTCTCTGTGTCCTTTGGTTTCTTCCCACTGTTAAGGACATCGTTTTATAGAGTTACTTCCCTTTACTGCTGAAAATATGGAAGGCACGATAAATAAGAGAATGTATTTATTCTTTTTTTTTTGTCCCCCACTTTTTGATGAGAGCAAGAGACTATTAAAGTGTGTCTGTCAGTTCATCACACTTTTTGAAACATAATAACTCAGCCCTCACCCCCTCTGGATAGGCGTCTGTACCACTTTTATGTTTTTTATCAATTCATGCATAAGGTGACACTAAATAGATTTTCTGTTCTTTGGGAACACCTATTAAAACCAAAAGTACTTGGTTGCACTGTTCAAAAGCTTTTAGGTGGAAATTTTTAAGTTTGTGTCGAGTGGACATTAAACCCCATTTGTCTCTCTATCTCTTTCACATGATTCAAGTGGCTATTTATCAAGCCACCGAAGAACAGAAAATCAGATTGGTGTGGCCTAAAGGTTTTTTTGATGTAATGTTTTTGCATATTGTAGGCTGCCCTGGCAGTCCATCAGTGGTTTAGAGGTTAAAGTTATCATCCAATAAACTAAAAACTATTTTTATACGCCCACATTTTCATGTGGATGTATACTCTCCCAAAAAAAAGTAGGGGATATTCAGGAACAATACAAAACTGCGGAAATGCACTGCTGTTTTTAGGGGGGTTGGATGGCTGAATGGTTAGCGTGCGCGCGCTGTATCATAAAGTCTGTCATTGAGTCGACTGGCGTGGTTTCGAATCCCTCATTGTACGTGACAAGGAGTAGGGTCGCCAGTCCAACCTCGTGGGTTTTCTCTGGGTCCTCCGGTTTCTTCCCACTGCTAAAGACCCCTATGCGCAAGCAAATTATTGAAATAAGATTAAACCATATGTTAGTCCCGAAATGACCTAGTTTGTGTCGAGTGGACGTTAAACCCCAGTTCTCTCTCTCTCTGCTGTTTTTATTAGAGGTTAACAGGCCAATTGCCCACACATGAACATAAACAGTTCATATGGGCGGCTTATCTGACGGCCCCATTTCACTCACAAAGAGATACACAGTCAAAAGTGAAAATGGACGTAATTGCTCCACCAATCCTCAGACATTCAGCAATTCGTCATGGCATGCTCCAAATCAACTGTCCAATCACGATTTGGGGCAATCTGACCCAATCCTCTTGCAGTGCCACGGCCAATTCTTGCAGTGTTGTCGGTTGACGTTGACGTCGACAAACACGTCTCCCAATCAAATTAAACGTAACACACTAAAGCAAAGATACGCTAAACAGTAAATCTTATGCAAGAACCAATAGGAAAGCAAACATTGATAGATAAACCAGCACACGGCAGTTTTCATCAACCCTTCCTTGAAGTGTCAAAATTTGACAATGAACCCCTCCCACGTGTATGGCGCTATTGCGTGTCGCTTGTGCAGTTCAGTGGTTCTGTTGGGGCAATAAGTTCTTCATCTGTGAACATACTCTCAAAGCATGTCAAGTGCCCATGACTATTTATCATATCACAACCTGCATAGGTATTTGCATTTCAATATCCCTTACTTTTTTTGAAGAGTATATATTGTCGTTGCCCCTGTCTGTCCGACCGGACGTCAACAAGTTCTTTGTGGTCATTCTACAGGCCACAATTTTTATCCGATTTTGACGAAACTTGAAATAAAGATCTCGGTTCCTTTAGTTATTGGCACGTATCAGACCTTAAATTCATGGATTATGGCCCCTGATTGTACAAAAAATCATGTTTTTAGTTTGTGGACACTCAAATGTTTATAACCCAAAGATTTCAGTTCCTTTTGATATTGGTGCATGTAGCTTCCTGGATTATTACCTTGATGGTACAAAAAAACACATTTTTAGATTGTGAACCCTCTAGAGGTCACAAACAATTTTTATCCAATTTTAAAAAATGTTTAAAAATATCATTGTTACACTATAACAACGGTTGAGTTCAAATTTTGTGAAAATCTGAACTAAACTGCCCTAAAAAAAAAATGACCGCTCCATGTATGCAAATAGTGTAAAAGTATGTAATACCAAAGACGTGGACCCTCTAGAGGTCACAATTTTTATCCAATTTGATGAAACTTAAATATATGTTTATATCCCAAAAATCTGGGTTCCTTTCGAAACTCGCACATATCGGGCAGTATCTTCCTGGATTATAGCTCCTGATTGAATGATAAATCACTTTTCTTTTTTGCTTGTTCTGTCCATCTCTTGCAAAATGTAGATGTATTTTGCATGACAACCGCTTGTTGATAATTACTGTAAAGCTGTACATCGTCCCTGGTTGCTGGAGACAACTAGTTGGCAGCAACTGAGAGAATACATCAGTTGTCGGTTCTTGCCGATGTATGTGTGCTTACGACTGGAAAACCACCAGTTGCTTCCAGTTTCCGCTGGTTGCTTGAGTTCAGTTTTTTTATAAAAAGGCTGATCTGCGCGCTCATGGCAACTGATCGTATCCAGTTTTTATGACCAAGAGGACACATGGAGGGTCGGGTGATCAACATTCGCCAATATCCGCTATTCATACACTTAATTTTGATAAAAAGAAAGAAAAACTGTTTTCTTCAAGAGGCTACATTATAGGCCTACCAATATTTTTGCAAAATTCAGCTTAATTTTGAAAAAATCACATGACCTACTGAAACACCTGTTTTTCTGTTTCACTGATGTCTATGTATGCATGTTGAATTGAGGAACCAATCAGTTGCAAAGCTTCCAGTCACCGTGCTTAAAAGTTATGGCCATTGAACACTTAGAAACATAGTGTGTACACTATACATGTAGGCTATTTTATTTATTGTCCTTGCAGGCACCAAAAATAGAAAGACTCTAATTTATATAATTGAACATATAGTCTAGAGAAATATTTTTTATTGCTTATTTCAGTCGACCTCAGATGATGTTGAACCATTTGTGTTAGATGAGAACTTTGACTATGAGAATGTTATTTTAACACCAAAGTTTAATGCAATTGAAATGGAGTACTTAAACAGTATAAAACCTTTTACAAGTGAAGAATCATAAGGAGATTTTGTTAACTGTTTATTTTATGATATTAATTTTAACATTCCGTCCAAGAATAAAAAGAACATGAAATAATTACTATTTTTAATTATGCTAATAATCTTTTGTTGTTTTCAATATTTCTGTGTCTATATTGTTTTTTAGCTTGATGGCTAAATAAGTAATTGATCATATGATACAATTCTCGCTGATTTCTGGATATTTCCTTAGAGTTAAGATTAACAACTTGATAATCATTTACTGCTATTTGACCCAGAAAGTGGGTAGAAGCTATTAGATTGGCAGAAAATTTAAGTAAATTTGAATTTCAACTAGTAACCTCCGATCAATTTACCCTTTTGGCCATGTTGGCTCGGTAAGTAAGGTACTGTCTCACTGTCTCATGCATTAAATGCTGGTGTTGACAAAAGATTCTCCAGAAATTTCAAGTGGAGTTTCCCCTTAATTGTCATTGATGCAGGATAGAGGGCCTAGCAAAGAACAGTGTCTAGTCTATCGAATGTGACAAAAGTAGGCTGTAGCGTTGCTGTCCATTCAAAATTTTCCTCATAGCAAACTGAAAGCATTTGTCCAACTTCATTTGTTTGCTTAGTGCTGAAAAGGTAGGACATTAAACCCGATTTCATTTCTTTTTCCATTAAAGGAGCTAAATCGGTAATATTTGGGACCTAGAAATGGGCAAAGATGGGTCACAACGCATATAGTAATGTAATATGAATATAAAAACTGATTTACATTCAATCGTTTCTGATTTTACTATAATTTTTAATCAGTTATGTTCGGCAAAATACAACAGAATTCTCTTTCAAATAGCAATCTCTAGCGTCTGATTATTCTTGTCTAAATCAATAGTATTTATTGCGCATGCTCTCCAGATAAGAATATGGCTTCACCGTTTGACATGACTTGTGGAATATGTCTAGCCTCGTTCTTTGAGTCTCTTGTTACAAATACCACTGAAATGCATTATTGTACATGAATCGTGTACCAATAGTAAAATTTTTATTTTGTCTTAAATATTGGATATTAGAAGCCCATCTTTTCCTGGTAATATCACAACATCAATGTTGATTTAAATTGACAAATAAATCGTGTTTTCAAGGTCAAAGACTTTGGATGATATTGAGTCCGATACTTAGCTACTTTAAACTACACTCTTTTTACCCTATGGCCTTCCATATGCTATGCCCTCTTGTACGGTATTGACTCTTGAAAATTAATGATAAGAGAAATTTATTAGCATGTATATCTATATTAGTTCTCAAACATCTACAACACATGGCCATAAATAGCCAGTGGGATTTAGACATACACAACTTTACTTAATTGACATTCATTTCACGCCTCATTAGTTGATCAGCAGACGGCACCATTGATTAAATAGAAGTGAAATTGACATTAATTATGATTAATAAACTAGGTAGACTAAACTTATTTGTCTGTTTTGCCTCTGGTTAATAATGTGGGCTGCTTTAGATGCTACAGAAACAAGATCCCATCAAAATTATTAATCAACATGCTTCCAATTTCTGTTTTCTTCGTAAAATCATATCCCAGTCCTATTTAGTATTTTATAAGCATATCTCACTAGCAATTTGTTAAGGTTATTTCTGGGTAGGCCCTAGTCAAGATCAATCCGGTCCAAATTGTTTCCATTTATATAAGAACGAATGTGTTTTAGACAAAATAATGCCCATTGTTAGGTTACCCCAGGATAAAAGAAATCTCCAAATTAGTCAGTGGCTCAGTGCATATGGTGCTAGCATAGAGGGGTTTCAGTTTCGATCCCGGTGTTGGCTTAGTGACTTCTTTTGGAAATCCGCTGGTCAGTAGTGCAGGACAGAGGGCATGGGGAAAAGTGTCTAGTTGTTTGGACAGGATAAAAAACTAGGTCCACCCATGTACACTTTGGTGTGCACATAATGTAACCTTGACAGTTGGAATTTGAAAAGTAAGCAGAAACACCCCCGTCTGACTTCATTAGCCAAGGACATATTTAACCACCATTTCATTTGATTTAAAATAACCTTAAGAAGTTAAGCTTATGTATGAAGTATGTGCACACAACACTTCTTATTTGCCACTGTTTAAATTGTATATGTGAACATCCGGCCAGTTATAACAATGTATGCTAGTTTGTACAGACACAGTAAAAGTAGACACCCCTTATCTGTCTTGAAAACCCAATACAACTTGATAATATGAGTTTTGGGGGACTTTTTTCTTTTTCATTTGGTAGCACTCAATTTTTATATAATTTATCCACAAATTTTACAGTGACCTCTCCACAATCTGTTAAATTAAACTCAGGAAGTAGTACATACTGCAGATGGTTATTCTCTTAACAATCAGAGCACCGGTAGCCTACAGCTTGTGTCCATGTTATCTCTTAATCAAGGTACTAACTTTTAATACTATTCAACTATTGTATATATTTGTCTTTTTGAATACAGCTAACTCAAGCATAACAATTATCAAATTTGATATGATCTTTACTTGTACTAGTCTTCGGTAAGTTCTTTTTCTATTTAATTAGAATGTGGACACAGAAATCTGGATGAAAACAATGGAAAGTGAACAAGTGAACAATAATCTAACAATTAAATATATACTGTCAGATCTACTTACAATACTTACTAAGTTTTTAATTGGATGTCATATTGTGACATCTGGTTTGAAGGTAAAACTATACTTAATTGTATTTATTGACTTATTCTATTTCATTGTTTAAACAAAAATTCTTTTTATTGGATGTGTTATTAAAACATTAACATACATGTAGTTGTGAAAATATTAAAGCTACATTCCAATGAAAGTATTTATGGGGTAGTTATTTCCTAAAAGAAAGTATAGCGTATTTGGTATATGGAAAGTAGAGATACACAATCTTAACTGGTAAAATACTTGATTCCCTAAAAAACGCTTATTGGACACCTACTCTACATGACAAAAATGTAAAGGTGTCCCTAACTGGCAGTCTAGTCTTCCCGAGTGTGTGTTGATCTAATGGCTAACAGTTGTGACATAATTAAACAGCAGAAAATGAATTTGGCAGAGGATAATCCAAAAATTTACTTAGGCTTCGATATTTATAAGAATGGGACTGGGACAGCAACTAACGACATGCAAGCTGAAAATGAATTCTCCCTCAATCAAATGACATGAAAAAACAGTGTAACGAAAAAGTTATCGTCCGAATTGTATTACATCTATAAGCATTATTAGATTAGTAAAACAAAGAAGCTTTATAATTTCAACAATTAATATCAATGTCTTGTAAATGCTACTTTACCTACAAAAAATAAATATGTGACTGCCCGGACGATTTAGCTGTTGTGGATACATATTTTATTGCCTGGTAACCTATCTTTCTTTAAACATTTGTAGATGTGAAGTACTGTACATGTAAACTAGAACTGTTAACTTACTGATTATACTGACAACAAGGTGGGTGAGGGGTTGCGTGGCCAAATTGTTTAACATGTGTACTTGAGATCATAAGGTCTGTCACAGAGTCAAGTGGCATGGCTTTGATTCCCAACAGGGGTGGATCTAGGAATTTTGAAAAGGAGGGGGGGGGCGCTGCAAAATGAGGGCACTGACCGCGGAGATGGGGAACGCCGCTGAGAGTTTTTTTTTGGGGGGGAGGGGGGCCCAAGAAAATTATCCATCATTTCCTTGCATCTGTAGCCATTCCAAGAGCTATTTGCCTTGGCTGATATTTTCGTCTAAGTAAACTACATCAAGTTGCACTCATGCGCGTCGGTGATGGGCGTCGATTCCACAAGATGCTATCATTGATGTCTGTCTATAGTCACTCTATAGGATTAGGGCACCGTCAGCTAAACAACAAAAATTCGTTTGAAAGTGGAAGCATTAATTAGACCAGACTGGTGTGTTTGAATCAATGGTTTGAGTCATTTGGGATCCCTGCAACGGGTTGGGAACGGAAATTTTTGGGTCTGAGAAAAGGCACTTTCAGCAGTAAAAAAGGGCACTGTCGAAAATTAGGGGGGGGGGGGGCCCCCATTGGATCCGCCTCTGTCCAACATGTACGTGACAAGGAGTATGGTTGCTTGTCCAATCTTTTGAGTTTCCTCCCATTGCTTTAGACCCCAACAAGTAAGTGAATTATTGAAATATAAAAAAGTGAAACAATGACCTAGATTGTGTCAAGTGGACTTTAGTCTGTTTCTCCAAAAAGCTGCCTGGTGGGTGTATGATTTGTTGTCCGGCAGCTTAATCTTCTTCCTTCAGTCGCTTTTCATGATATTATAACAATTTATTTCCATTGTCAATTGACTCATTTTTGTTAATTTCAACCTCGACCAAGTCCATGTATAATGAAATAGTAATAACATTAAAAGGCAATTATAGTAAGTTAAGATGATGTTATCAGTTATCTAGGGCTCGAAAGAATAGATTATTTGGGTAGCAATTAGCAAATCTCCACGGAGGAATGTGAAGGAAATTGCGATTCTGTACTCCATACAAAATGTGTTGTGTGCATTAAGCCTTCATTACTCTCAATACCAATTTGGACATTCATTTTTCATAAGATAAGATTATTAAGGAAATAGTCTAATTGAGCTTCGTAGAACAGCTCTAAGGACTCGTAAGGTTGATATAGTAGTCGTCTGCAAGTTAAGTGCACTAAAAGAATTGTAATGTTATATTCTACTGTGTTAATCTGTAGTCTAATGAAATGAATAATTGTCACGATAATTGAATTGAATATATGAATATAATTAATAATAATCTTATTTGAGAGAATTATTCATATAATAGATTACCAGCCAGAATAAATGTGCTAATGATCACCTGGATGATCTTGAAAGATATTTTTTTTTCTATTACATTAGTTTTACCAGTGGTAAGATAGGTTGCCAGGCAACAAAACATACATTCATAGCAGCTAAATTGTCTGAGGAACATTTACAAGCCACAGATATCAATTTCATATAAAATTTCAACTTCGGTTGTAGCTATTTATGAGAATTAAATTTATCATTTTTGAGTGCAGTGTCTGTTAATATATATTTCACTTTAACTAAACTGAAATATTGCAGGCTGACATGGAGGATGAAAGCAGGACTATCTATCTTTAATGCATTTATAATCTCTTTGGTGACTAATGAAAGAAGCATTTTTCACTAAATCTGCCTAAAGCAGATCTTTTTTGGGCCTCAAATGTTATATAAAAAATCACTAATTAGACATTTATTTACATCCCAGGCACATAACTAACTCTCTAGAACTTCGGATGGTTTTGATTTTCAACAGATTTAAATAACCTGTTGTGAAGCTTAACCCAACATTACGAAAGAGAATGTACTGTTAAAAAAGAAATGCAAATTTGTTATTCTATTACCTACTGAACCATGTAATTATCCGACTCATTTTAATTTTAACTTGAAAATCACATAATAGTTTTTGATACCAGATGTTGCCTGTCATGTAGGTGCAAAAGGCCATGATAGAAATGAATAGATTTTCATCTACTGGTCATTTTGCTGGAACATATATAATGACCACAAACTACTGTTGACAATTTTTGATTTCAATCTCAATTGTACACCTATGATGACTTCCAGTAATCATCTTAATAGCCATTATTCCCCAATTTTTATATGATTAAAATCTAAATCCAGTTTTATAACTGGCATATGAATTTAGATTAAACTACAATGTTGTGAAAGTTAGACTTTTTAATTAAGATATGGTTCTATTCAGTATTTACATTACAAAGAAATAATGAACCGGAACTGAAAATTTGTCATTTTCTACAGATGAATGGAAGCAGGGAGAGATTTGAGATTATCTACCATTGATATCTATAATTATATATGTGTGCATTTTAGCATGGATCAAGTCATCAACAATTTGATATTTTCAAAAAAATTGCAAATGACAATCAGTGGCTTTATTGTTTCTTAAAAACTTGTTTTAAAATGAGGACCATTTTTGAAATAGTAGATCTTTAGGCCTATTATTAATATTACAAAGTTAAAAATGTTTGGGATGCCTAAGTTTAGATTTGTTGTTTATTCCATATAATAATGTAGTAGCATTTGGGACTAACCCGTACCTAAATATATTAAACTCCTCCGGCGCGATGTTGAACTACACAATATTTAATGTTAAAAAATCTTACTACATTATGGAATCAAGACAAATCTATACTTGGGCACCCCAACCCTTTTAAACTTTGTTCTACAACTCCCTACCTCTGGGTGTTCCAACTTTGGATTTATTTTTAGCCTTATAACCCTCTCACAGGTGTTACTTTGACACCCTTGTCTATATAATATCCCTTTATGATTATGACAAGTAACAATGTTACAAACCAACTAAAGGCATCCTAGTTAGCAGAATTATGGACACCAATCTAAACGATCAGTTGTCAAATCTCTGTACCACCCCGGTAAGTGAGCTTCTGCTCCCGGTAATAAATTCACAAGCCCCGCCAAGAGACCAACTCTGGTAACCCCACCCGTTAGTAACCATGGAAAGCCCGCTGGTGTTTCGTAATAGTATAAATAAGCCAACAGTGAGACGGATGTCCATTGCCGAAATCCCGAAATAAATAGATCGACACATATTAATTGCACGTTTATCGTTTTCAAAAGTATCTAGCAATCAAACTAATTATCAACTATACACTAAGTTTCATCACTCTCTATCAGATAGAAACAAAGTCAAAGAAATTTCTTAGCTCTGTTTATATTAGCTTTAGTTTAAACATTCTACCAGCAGAGTTGTTATGTTCCAAAGACTTGACCAATCAAATTGCTTATTGCTCCTTAGCTTAAGCAGAAAATTCTCATCAAACTTAGTCAAGATAATGATATAATGAATCTAAAATCAGAGTTTCATAGCTCTCACTTAATTATAACCAAAGTTGTTGTGCCCAAAAGCATCAAGCAATCAAATCCCTTAACTCTGCTTACCTAAGAAGACAATGTTCATTATCAAACTCCATCAAGGCATTCACCTAATGAACACCTACACCAAGTGTGAACATTCTACCTTAATTAGGAGAGTTATTATGTTTCAAAGTCTCAACCAATTAAATTGCTTATCGCTCTGCTTACCCTCAGCAGAAAATGTTCATTATCGAACTTAGTCAAAGTATTGATGTGATGAAACTATACACCACATTTTGTCACTCTCACTTAATCTCTGCTTACCCATAGCAGAAAATTCTCATCTTCAAACTACATCAAGGCATTCACCTAATAAACACCTACACCAAGAATGAATATTTTTGCTCAATAAGAAAGAGAATTATCGTGTTCCAAAGTCTCGACCAATCAAATTGCTTATAGCTCTGCTTACCCAGAGCAGAAAATGTTGATTATGAAACTATACACCAAGTTTGATCACTCTCACTTAATTAGAACTAAAGTAATCAACTCTTAAAGCATCAACCAATCAAATTGCTCATCTCTGCTTACCCTAAGCAGAAAATGCTCATCTTCGAACTCCTTCAAGGCATTCACCTAATAAACACCTACACCAAGTGTGAAAATTCTAGCTCAATTAGGAGAGTTATTGTGTCCCAAAAAGTGTGACGGAGGCGGACAGATGGACAAACCCATTTTAATAGTCCCCTGCTTTCTTCAAGTCCTTATTCATGATTGAACTTAATACTGTATTCAGTATATATAATAGCACATATTCTAACCAAACAAGAGCCCAAGAGGGATTAATCTAGTGTGCCCCCAATCCTCCCGATTAACTGCATGTGAGCAAAATATAAATATGAAGAATGTGGGGACCCTTCTGGACTAAATCTTATGAAATTTTATAGCCATTTGTTGCGAAAGTTCCAACGTGACATATCATTTATGTCTCTGTCGGGATCAGTGAAAAGCCCAATTATTTGTATCGTAACATTTCTACTCGCATATCAGCCTTCTAAATGATGTGATTGGATTTTTCCCTTTTTCGGAGAGTGTAAGACGCTGGCTCGCTAGCCTGGAGGTCGGGTGTTCAATTCCTGCATTGGCTGAGAAAGTTCATCCAGATTTACCGGTGTGGTTCCCCCTTGTCAGTGATGCAGGATGGAGGGCCTGGCAAGGACAGCTGTCTAGTCATTTGTATACATTGCCATTGGCGTGCACGTAAAAGATCCCTTGACAGTTGCAATTCGATATAAGAGTAGGCTGTAGTGCTGCTGTCCGGGCAAAATTTCCCCTCATAGCACACTGTATGGCGTATGTCCGTCTTCATTAGCCCAGTTTCGAGCAGAACAGTAGGACGTTAAACCCCATTTCATTTCATTTCATTTTGGAGAGTGTACGGCATGGGCTATTTCCAAATAGGATAATAGATGCCATTTCTCTTGGGAGGGCTTACTAAATTGAACAATAGTGGGATCCTAATCTGTTACATAAAGGATCGAATTTCGTTTTGGTGATTTGAAAATAGTTTTCACTCGGATTTGAGTGTAGGCCTACATATTTTTATAAGGACCCGAATAGTTTTTCCGTTTATACAATGATGGTGATCTACTTGGAATCACAAATATCTAAATTTGCTATTCAAATTCCGGGACGGCTACTCGCCACTCACAGATTTCTAATTGCATATGAGCAAATCCAAATAAATACCTCCCAAACAGCATACGTCTTACAACATTTGGTTGTAAGTTGAAAATGTCTAAATCTGCCCAATTAAGGTGTCCCTACAATGTGTTTATAAGCACTTACAGGTACCAAATATGGTTGTAATATGTGTAAGGCACCATGCAACAACCCTGAACAAATACCACCCAAATGACATCCATACTAAATGTGGTTGAAATACATAAGAGGGGTGGACAAACGGAAGACAGGCTATGACTCATTGACTGACATAAGCCTTTTAGACTGATGGACTTAAAGAATAATTGAACAAATATCATCAGTCAGGAAAAAAAAAGAGAAAATTTATTATAATTATAATATATAATACACTTTATAAATTACAAATAATATACTTTTAAAACAAATGATATTCTTTTTATACAACAATGTGCCATCATTAATAGTTTACATGTATTATATACATTTGATCTGCAGAGTAATGGAAACTATTTTTAATTTGTTGAAGTAAGACTATATAATGCTGCAATACCGATTTTATGAATCGTTTGTATTAATACAAGACAACTATGATTTTGAGATTTTTGAATACTAAAAAACAGACTTTCCTCAAAACTGATTTCAGTGAACTTGAAATATGAATTTCTAGTTATTTTTGGAAATTAAAACAGTTTTCAATTATAAATCTTTATGAAACGAACAGGTGATGTTCCTTAGTTTCCTGTGAAACCTGTCCCTTCTAGTTGACTGAAAAATAATCTTGTCTTTTGCATGGTCAAAATCTGTTTATTAAGTACCATGTATTCCTCTCTAATTTTGAAAAAGATTTGGCTCAAAAATAGTTTGGTTTTTTTCTTCAACTAGTTGCTGTATAATTGGACTCCTTACCCTGTTTAAAGGAGTAAAATCCTTACTGAAAATATGCTACAGAAAGAATTCTAACATTATAGAATCTGATCTTAATACATTAACAGCTACTTATTAAATTTAAACATGAAATGGCTAATTACTTTTTTTGAAAAGTAATAGTTTGATTTCAGTGACAAAAGAATGATTATTCTTCATGTTTGATGGGCGAATAACAAATTATGCAATTTTGTTAAACAATGTTACCCCTAATTAATGTGCTACATGTACATGAAAATGCATTAAACATTTAGACATAATACTGAAAGCACATATAACATAAACATGTATATTCTAGTTTATATAACACAATTTATACATACATAACTTTATAGTGCAATAATTAACAGGCAACTCTCTTACTATAAATTAAAAGGGCACTTTGAAAATAATGAGAGAATTTCCCCTTCATATATATAAATAACTCCATGAACAACCCCCCACCCCCACCCCTAGATAGCCAAGATAGATTGCAAACACTATGGCTTATTTGTTAATGAATAATCATTGGTCTGTAGCATTTTATAAAGCCTGGTAGGTTGTCCTTGACAGTTAGTTGGCCACATGTGTGCTACTGGCATGCGGTTAATCATAAAACTCTGATTGTTTAATCCTTTGATTAATATTGTGTAATATGGGCGAACACTTCACCATTATCTTTTAACCATGAAGATGATATGAAATTTTTTTGTGCATGATATACCATCCATGACAAGTTGAATTGATTTAACCGACAGATTGCTATAATTAATGGTGTGGACAGGCTTTACATGCATATCCGAATGCATCTATTATTGTGAACGGTTCTACTCTAGTGATTGTACATCACAAACAGCACTTATTTCCAATTTCATCTATGTTATAAAATATTATACAGTCTAATTGTAACCAGCACTGGCTAATTCGAACACATGTTGCCACATCCTTAGTTTAAATAGGATATCAAACATAACTATTTTTGGGTTTTCAAACACATCTTTTTTTGTATTTCCCCAAAAACTCACATCAGCATAAAATTTGTTTTGCTTGGTTTGTTTCAGTAATCTTTAATCTCTTCTATCTGGAAATTAACAATATTTTGGACACCAGATAAATATCCCAGTCATTTGGAAAATAAATGCATATATCACATATTAATGTAAAGGTCTTTGAATACAGCAAAAGTTAAATTTATGTAGAATTTATTTTGATTTTTGGACCCATGTTCTCCTCCTTGGGTCAGAGCTAGTCACGAGTATTTGTGATTTTGTTACAGTAATGCTATTTGAATCTTTATCCCAGATGTATCAAAAGACATTCTAGTTCACCAATTATCAAAAACATTTCTCAATTTCTGATCAATGTTTGATGATTTTTACCCAGAAAAATTCTATACAAATTCTAATTCCTTATGGCATGTATAGATTGATTGATAGATAATTTATCAATTTCAATGCCTGTAAAAATTTTGATCAAAATGAGAGACCTAATACATATTCAAGCCTAGATTATTTTATGTTACAAAAATTAATCTTAAGTGAAATGAATTTCTTTTTATAAGCATAAATTGATAAATAAAACTGGAACTTATATAAATAAATATAGAATTAACCTGGAACTTATATAACTTAATATGTGATTAAACTAAAACAAATCATTAACAACAACTTGTAGACTGGATACTTGATTTAAAATATACAACAAATATTAATAACAGTGTGATTCAACACTTGAAATTTAATTACCGGTAACAAGATAAGAGTTAAATCACACTGAAATATCAACCAAACTTCACTAAGATACCCTCAAAAAAGAAAACCTTTTAAGTTTAAATAGTTACAAAACTGTTCACAAGTTTGTAATTTACATTCAAGACTAAGATCAAAATTTATAAATTTTCCTGGAATTTCTCACTTTTCTTTTGTCTCTCAAATATTTGGATTTTTTAAAGGATTTGTTTTTGAAAGGTATTTTAGTCAGTTTTCAGCCGAGCACTAAATAGAATGGTTGATGAATTACAGCGTTCTTTGATCCTATATGTTATCAACCATTAGTTCAATTACTTCATCTTTCAAGCCACTGATGATTCTTCAACTGAAAATACATCTTTCTATTGACATGTGAATATAGAAAATATTCAACCAATTTGCAACGCATTTATATTTTTAAATAAAATAATTCTATACTACAGAAATAAAACTATGAGCTTCCATGACATCCTTGAGTGAAATGGTAGTAACTGATCACAATCAATGGTCTTTCTTTAAGTCAGTGTTCGGCTGTAAACTAAGTTAAATAAATCATCCATTCATATTCATTTAAATGAGACTAGTTTCTTTAGACTAGAAAAACAGTATTCCCCTCATGACACAACCATCACAATGTTCATTTTATATGGCACAAAAAATTCTTTCAAGGGAAATAACTTGTCACACAAAAACTGTAAGACACAGCTGATGACACTAACTGTCCTCTTGAGTTACATTCACTAAATCTTTGTGTCACAATCCCAACCAATTAAAGCCTTTTCTACAATAAATCACTTGGTTTCATCCCAGCACGCTCGCTCCGTCACTCCCAAACACATGTAAACGTAACAATGGAAACGATGCTGCAACATCAATGGATGAAGAAATCCCAAAGAAATAAAACATAATATAACTGTTTTCTAAAGTGAACAGGGGCTCGGACTTCCGTAGCCACTCGACACATCGTCACTCAAACTCTGCGTCTGTCTCTTTATTTGGTTCAATGCGTTATAGCCATAATTAATATTGGTCATATTCGCGAACACCATTCGTTCTTCATAGTCATATTCACACAATATTTTGTTGTCACACAAAAAGAATCTGTCTCCAACACAAAATCTGGAATAGATAAAATAGAGACAAACCTTGGTTATTGAAATGGGCTTAAAATCAAATTACGAGCTAGAATAATAAAATCCCTGGGGGCAATTGTAATTCAATAGATATTTTAAAATACCCCATATCATCCAGTAATTATTTCAAGATATCTTTGTTATATTACTTTATTATTTAATTTTTAACCTTTTACTGAAATTTACAATCTTTGTTTTAATATTTTACTGGTCTGTTTCTCAAATATTTGATTCAATTTTATTTATACTGGAATTGTTATTTTTCATTTACCTGGTAGGGATGGGTTCACATGTACTTTAAACAAACTATTTTGACCTCGTCAGTTAAAGTTTAGAGTTAAATTCACATGGGCAAATGTGGTCATTTTGCCATGAAGATAACTTACTCTGTTTGCCCAAAAAAGGTATAAGAAAGCTGGGGGTTTTAAACTGGTTTATTTGCTCCACCTTTGCATTCAGACAACAAAGTAGAGCTGGTTTAACAACTGCCAGGGTGTTTAAATCAGTTTAATTATGACTAATTTATATCCATGCCATCAAGCAACAGAATTTAACGAATGTAGCAAAAATCTGCATTAAATCTGACAAATGTATTTGATTTGCATTTGTACAAATAAAACTTCATTTAACCATTTAGTTCCCTCATAAAATAAGAGAAAGGGGATGTTCCTTGCATTCAGTTTTCTTGCTCGTTTTCAAAACTACTGCTCTCTAGATCGCCAAAAACTGTCTGCGTCATGGAACTATACTAACGTCCAAAAGAAAGTATACACTGTGCATTTTGTGCTGCATCAACCAAAGTCGTTTTTCCATGGTCTACGGTATTAGGGTAGAATGTCAATTTGTTTCACATTTTTATTTTGCTTAGAAATGTTGAGTTTGGTCGCAAGAGACAAACTCAGTAATGCTTTATCAAATGTTTTTAATCTAAACAAAACTTAGTCATACTTTTAGTGTGTATACTTTCTTTTGGATGCTTCTTAAATAGTTTACAGATATTCCTGTGACTTGTGTGGGTTTGGAGCGGTAGAGGCAGCAGTAATTTTGAGCAGTCCACATGATAAATGGTTAACTTAAATTTGCGCATTTGATCTTGTTTTGAAGCCATATATTCATGTTTAAAATCACTGACTTGGTTAAAAATGACATATGATTTAAAAACCTGGAAGTTCAATATCATCTTCCTTCAAAGATAATAATTATCATGGAAGAAATATTTTATTTTTACCTATGATTACACTGTTGACAAGCAAAACATTCCAAGTGATAAACATTACTTTTAGCTCTCATTACCATTTCAAAAGCTGGAATCATCTTAGAACAAGCCGAACAATATCCTGTTGTTCCAAATAACCTGAAGAAATATAGAAAATTCATATAATCAGTTATTTTCTTCTCCAATATACAGCATGTGAATAACAATAATAATCATTCATCATGGTCCTGTGGTGGGGGAAGAGGGGCTTACTGTAATTATGACATGGTAATTTGTAGTTATCAGAACCTGAGCTCATAACTATGGTTTTTATTTAATTTAAGACTTCCTGATATTTAAATCTTGCAACTTATTTTTAAAATAAAATAGCTTATGGTAGCTAAAATTTATATTATTATGTGTGCAATGTAAGACAGGAGCATTTTGCCCATATATCCACCTAGTTTTCTTTGATTTCCAACAGTTTTCAATCCCATTCAAACTACTAGTCACACTCTCCTTGTCAGCTCCGCAGAATAAAGTAATTTGATCGAAATTTTCAATATATTCATTTTTCATTATCTATTTTTGAACATGGAAGCAAGAACAGCCAGCTCTTTATGCTTTTGAATAGATTAGAACCCAATCGACATTTAATAATTCAATCATAAAATGTTAATCATGACTTTTTGTAATTATCGTAGCAGAGGTATGTGATATAATGAGACTCTCTTGTAAAAAGTTTAAACACTATAATTCCGCTCAGAATAAAGTAATTTGATCGAAATTTTCAATATATTCATTTTTCATTATCTATTTTTGAACATGGAAGCAAGAACAGCCAGCTATTTATGCATCTTTAATTCAATTCATAACCAGAGGTTGCTATGCAAGATACGTCCACATTTTGCAAGAGATGGACAGAGAACAAAACTAAAAAAAAAGAAAAAGCGATATTTCACACAATGGGAGCCATAATCCAGGAAGTTACGGTCCGATATGCATGAATATCAACAGGAACCAAGATGTTCAGGATATAAACATATATTTTAAGTTTCATCAAAATCAGACAAAAATTGTGACCTCTAGCAGGTCCACAAGCTAAAAACATGATTTTTTTGCAGACAATCAGGGGCCATAATAATCCAGAAAGTTATGGTCCAATATGCGCGAATATCGAAAGGAACCAAGACCTCTGGGATAAAAACATATATTTTAAGTTTCATCAAAATTGGATAAGAATTGTGACCTGTAGAGTGTACACAAACAAATTGTGGACAGACGAACAGGGGGCGACGACAATATACGTATATGGTCATTTCAAAATGTTTCATCATACGGCAATGTCATTGCCAAATGTCATTGGCACTGAATTACATGTTTATATCAATATTATTATTTTTTAAATATTGGATGTGACAAAATATTGGGAAGAAACAGCTTTCAAAGGATAAAATAGACACAAGGTATTTTATATTTCTATGGTATCATGTGTAACACAATTAGTTATTTTAAAGGATCATAAAGGGACAATTTAAATTCTACTCCTGTTACTAATACCCTGCATATATCATGTAAATTTTCATAGAATGGTTTTGTGTTAATATAATTAGAAAACACCCCAAAAAATAAATTTAAATTTTAAATGTCACAGATGAAGAATGGTAGAAAAAACAGGACAATTATCGTTATTCAACTTCCACTAATATTTATTTTGATCTTGATGGAAAGACATTATAAATTTGTTTCAAAGACTGAACAAAAAGTTAATAATGGTCCTTTCTTTTTCGATTATTTCATTAAAGTAAAATTAGATTGAAAGACAATTCTCAAATCCGTCTTCTATATAATAAAATCTAAACTTATGAATTCAATTTATATCTTTCCAGACATTTGTCTCATGAAAGATATCCTGAAATTTCAAGATAACTGCTAAATGTCTAAGAATTCACTGGCAAGGGGACATTCTGACATCATTATTCACTTTTTTCTTACTTTTACAGACTATGTTTTTTTTCTTCAGACTATAACTAACTATGCTTTTTTTTTTCAGACTATAACCAACAGTGCTTTTTTTTTTCAGACTATAATAGGAGCTAAACCGCTTTGATGTCAGTAAAAACAACATTATTGGTTTGATCTAACATGCTATTTCTATTATGCTTAATGCTTAATCAAAAAGATTAAGTGAAAGTCAGTTTGTATACTAATTCAGTTTAAAAGAACACTGAAAGTGCAGAATCCTGAATTTATTTTCTGTATTAATACTCGCCAAAAATGTCATGGTCCTCTTTTTGCCAACATCCTGCATATGTATATCAGGGTTTTTAATTATATTCCAAACTTTCTTTTCAAAACCAAATGTTAATTAGAAATCTCTTTTCATTTTCTTCTCTTTAATTTGTTAATACGAAACTTACCGTAGATAATCTCGTCTACACAACAGAAGATTAGCTTTTGTGAACAGAGTGGAACCGACTTCACCTAATCGACAATCACAACAGGAACATTTTAAGCAATCTTCATGCCAATATTGGTCAAGTGCCTTAAGAAGGTGTTTGTCTGTGATAGGTTTCTGACAACCAGCACATTCTTGTTGGGTAGTCATACCGGTGGGTTCCTGGGAAATCTGCATCGGTCCTGGAATAAATAGAGCAAGCCATTTACATATGCCGTCCACAGCCATCTCACTTTTCAAAATGACATCAATAACACAAATGAAAATTGAAATTAAAATGTAAGGAGGGAATACTGCAAGAGTTTATCTGTGAAGTCATGCATTGCATATAAAATTTTAATACACTTCAAAAATCACACATGTTGTGATATTACTGCGTTCAATTTACCGCTTGTTTTAATGTTTATTCACACTTTAAAAATAACATGTATATACAGTCAATTTATTACCTTGTATACAAACAGAAATAATGAAATCAAATAAAACCACACATGTGATTTGAACTGTGCAGACTCACTCAACCACAAATATAACATGAATATGATATAGCCTATTGTTAATTCTATAATTAAATGCCTGAGATAATAGAATTTAAATATATTGACTTTCCACATAATGAAATTAACATAGAAAATTTGAACTGATAAGCATGAAACAGCCAGATACAACATGCATAATCTAGATAATATTCATTTTCTTGTTAATAACTACAACCTATAGATATATAATACTGCATTAAAATGAAAATGGTCATTGTATTTATGTCTAGAAGAACCATAAATTTGCATTTCAATTAAAACAGCCATAAAATAATAGAAAGTAAAGATAAATTATGCATGTTCATGTAGACAGAGGACTGCTGTTGCATTTGAATCACTTGACTGAGTCTATATATATATACAATAAATTTGTTGTATATAATCAACCCGAAACAGATAAACTTCAAAAAGGAAAACGAATAAATAAAATTTCATATATCATTTAATATTTGAAGTAATTGTTTACCATACATAAAGAGATAAGATTGGAAGTTAATTAAAATTCAATATGTGATTTAGCAAACATCAATATAGGTAAAACGTTAAGCTAGAACTAACCACATTGCCAGCTATTTACATTATATTTTCAAATATAAATATGGGTACAAATATTGATTAATATTTACCGTGCAAATGATCTCTTTTTTTAGTATTACATAAACTCATTGACATGGATGACATTGAAATTAGAGTTTATCATTTAAAGGACAATATTGGAATCAGTCATTATTACATATGTGATAGAACTGGTTAAATACATTCCAAATATAATTTTAACACAGAGATCATTGCTACGGGAGATGTGTAACAAGCACGTGAAGAAACGGGAAGTGATGCCAAACATGACAAACACGAGTTATCCTTCTATATAATAGACTGAAGTAACGAGCGGTAACAGACAAACGGTCGAATTTCATTTCAATGATAATTTTTTGAATTGTCAGATATCCTCTCATCGTTAACGCTTGTTACTTCAGTCAGTTATATAGAAGGACAACTCGTGTTTGTCATGTTGAGGTCACTTCCCGTTTCTTCACGTGCTTGTTACACATCTCCCGTAGCAATGATCTCTGTGTTAAAATTATATTTGGGATGTATTTAACGAGCTCTATCACATATTTTATAATGACTGACACCAACATTGTCCTTTAATATACTGAAGTTGCCCTTGTTATTGAAAAATTATTCTATTTGACACTTGATGTACTGCAAGTTGGGGAAAAATTCCATTCAAAATGCAATGGTGAGGTATGACACCCCCGAATGTGTTCTCTTGCACTCCATATGTGGATCGTCTAAATTGGATTCAAGACTTTGTAAAAATCATTACATTCAAGCTACTTTGGCTTTTGAATTAATTATATGAAAATATATCTGATAACATCTTTTTAAATCCATCTCTTTTATTCAAATAATCATCCTTAACTTTTGGTGTTGCTTGGAAAATAAGATAATATTTTATTTCACATAGTGATGAGGATTTTATTAGTAAAATTAATTTCAGAAAACACAAATGTCAGGTTTAGAAGTAACTTCATTAGTGTAGATTTTATTTTAATTAAGTATATGCAACAAAACTCTATGGATTATAACTGTAGTTTATAAACATATCTCTAAAAAAAAATTCTACATCTGCTCAGTGTACATATTACACTTGATAACATAAATGGATGACATCATCAAATTATGTGTAATTTGGTAGCACAAACTGTGTATGTATATATTTACATTGAAAGTAATAGGCTAGTACATCATAATTAGTATACACAGCACTAGTAGTTCATGATTTAAAACTATCTTATATCAGATTATAGTAGCACCATGAACTAACTACTTCAGTCCATGTTCATGACTGGCCACAGGTGCAAAGTTTGAGGGGGGATTAGGTGGAGGGGCAGCAATCCAACATTTTTAGTGCAAAAGTACTAATTGTCACTAGAGGGTTTGGGTGGTCTGATAGTCCAACTTGTGCGCCCTAAATCACAAGGTCTGTCACGGAGTCAAGTAGCATGGTTTTCGATTCCTGGCTTGTTTTTGACAAGGAGTAGGGTCAACCCCATGGGTTTTCTCTGGGTCCTCCAGGTATTTTTTTTGTGCTTCTAACCATATAGGGTCTTAAATGCATATCCCGGAAAACTTTTTTATATAGTGAAACCTAAAGAAGTTATTGCCCAACTGGTAGATTTTTAAAGATTTTTGTCTGTTGAAATTAACAGTGGCTTCTTGGCTCCAGAAATCCTGGTTTCATTCTGTCACAAAATTTAACCCAAATATGTCTGCTTTAAACAATGCTTGAAGAAATAAGATAGCTTATCATGAAAAATGGTGGTTTAAAGACTCGTCAACACAATACCTCAGTCATTTTGAGATCAAATATAATGAAATTCATTTCTATGGTTACTGTGTGCAATATGTGTGTGTGTGTGTGGGGGGGGGGTTTACAGGCAGTGGCATTTCATCCTACTCTTTTTTTTCTAATTTCAGTAATAGTAGTATTTCTGTTGACTAATGTCTGCTTTCACAATAGTGATATCGCAGACCAATTTCACCTGTCAAAGGTTCTTTTACATGCATGCCCATGTGTACACTAAACAGTAGAAATATTAAGGGCACACTTTTCTTTTCATCCCTGTAGACGTTTTCCCATGACAAGTCAGAACTGACTTGAAAAATCCTTATGGCTCTTCTCGACTACTGCTGCCTCCACTCCAAAAGTAAGGATAATTTGATTTGACACGAGCATATGAGTTTAATCATCATATTTAAGATGGTAAATTTAGAGGTCCTTGTTAATATCCCAACCTAGTAATTTATAAACAAAATTTAATATACCATTAGGTAGCAATTTTCTGTGGAAACGGTTTAAATCTGTCTGTATCATCTTATGTAAACATTTAGTCTAAACTAATTAATTACTGTTTCTAATTAATTTCTCCTTTCCCATATTCCTACCATACATATATATACAAATCTAACGCAACATGTGGCCAATATCAAATTATAGCAACTCCGGCTCATACAATTTGCAATGAAAACATACCAATGTAATTTAGTCCAGGAAATTAGAATCTGTCAGAGTAATTTGTGAGCTTATTTCCAATATCACAATCTTGTTTTAATAGAGGGCTATAATTATACTTTTATTTATTCTTTCTCATGTCAGTTATTAATTTTCATACTAAGTTTTCCTTATTATTTTATCAATATTTGATGAATACCACCCGGACTAACTAGTTAAGCATGAGTGTTTTTTTGGGTGGGTAGTAAATCTTGAGAGGAAATAGAATACAGGATCATAAAGCTGCATGCATCTACTTAACATTTGTAGCATTAAGAGACAATGAATGCAGCAGATATATCTTCCCTTGATAGAATCCAGCTCAATGTTACAGACTTTGACCGTCAAAAGTTTATGTATGCGATGCACTAATGGAATGGTGTTTATAATCTGTTTTTTATGAAACATGTAGGCAGATTATTAAACAAAAACTTGTAAACAGTTGATAGAAAAGTTTGTGGTGAATGTGCACCACACGATCAGTGATAGTTTGCCATAGGTTTCTGTAGTTCTGTTACTCTGTCTGTTATCCTGAAGAATTCTAACCCAAAATGCATCCAATTTTTTGATCTCCACATTAGTAAGATTCCAGTAAGAAGGGAATTACTGTCCACAAGTGCAGGACAGAGGGCTGGCAAGGGACAGCATATATTCCCGAGGTCCAGTGTAGGCCTACACATTGGTAGCACGTAAAAAAAGCTTGTCAGTTGGAATTCGACGAGAGGTTGTAGTGCCATTGTCCAGGCACAATTTTCCTCATAGTACACTGTATGGCCTAAGCCTGTCTTCATTAGTATAGTCTTGCAGAAGCAGAACAGTAAGACTTTAAACTCCATTTCATTTATTTCAATTATTCACTTTCACACAGAAATCTTATGCAGAGTGAAATAACTGGAGAAAACACGGTGTAAGCCTACAAAAGAATGCTGTCAGTTCGCAGCCAGGAGAGGGGGGAGGCCTTAAAAAATAAAGATTCAGTTTCCTGGTTAATTATTTTTGTCACTGAGTGTTTCCGGTAACTCAAAGAAGGAAGGGAAAGCCCAAAGTCATGGTTCCCCACATAAATACACTACCAGATCTGGTAATATATAAAACAATGCCCAGATATGATATGTGTGGAGCAATATGGACAGATAGAATTTTCATTCCATCCCATTTGCAGGCTTTACAACAATTTTCATTACATTTATCTCTTTGTTCAATACATCTGCAATTCATTGTTCCCATGTCAATTCTAAACTGCTGTAAAATAATTCCTCAAAACCACTGATATTAATGAATCAGAAAAAAAAAATCATATTAAAAGATTTTACATGACTAATACAAGTCAACTCATTTCTGTTGCTGTTGGTATAGAATCTCATTACTTATTTTCTGGATTCTTATTGCTGCTAATTAGCTGCCAGAAGCCATCAATAAACTGTGCGAAATGACCATTTTCATTCAAATGTGCTAAGAATAACTTAAAACGTTTTTTTATCAACAGTTAAGAAAATGTTTAGTCAAGAATACACGAGGCTACTTAAATTTGGACAGGCCCAAGGGAGGTAATGTGACCATCCCATCTGGACCACACATGTTTTTG